ACTGCAGAATTTTGTAGCGTCCTTAATCTCACAAAGAACTTCCCCGGGGACTTTTCAAAAATTGAGATCTGAGAGGAAGTTGTCGATATCAGCGAGATAAAAATGTCTTATTGAATTAACCCCTGACTAAATGTTTTGATCCCAATGACAAAATGAATCCATTATGGAAGATCTATATCATTGAATATTTTCACTGTTTGCTCATTTTTTGGACCTAATGGTTGATCCTGCTTTTCAGTCAACTTTTTCAACTTCTTCTATTGTGCTACGTTCAACTACCGTAGTCGCTATCCGTCCTCTGAGTGTTAAGTATCTTGCTACCGAAGGCCATAATTGCTCATTTAACCCTCTTTCTACCACACGTCTTGCCTTATGTTCTGGAAGTTTTGCTTTTTCTCACAACTTCCGAATTTCAATCTTTCATTTACCATTTTGTTGTTACGCTAAAATAACAGTTTTGCAGTTTTGTTATTAAACTGGAACTTTTAGCCAACATTTTTTGAAATTGGAAAAAGATTCAGTTCAATTGTTTCTAGTTCTCTTTTGTCTCTTGATGCCAAGGAAAAATTATGTATTAAAGATGGGTTTCACAGCAACGGTGTACGCTTTTATTAGTTATTTTTTACCCTGAACTTTTCTCAACCTGAATTACCTCCACAAAACTTCGACAAATTAGTTTCAATTTATGTAATATGCTCTATTAAAGCCTGAGTAGAATATTTTATAACACCTCAGTAATAACTTTTTTGCTTACATAGCTACTGTATTTTTTGCGAAATTTTGCAGATCTTTTTAGAACCACCGTTTCTTGACCGTGGCGTCTGCATATAAACTCAGGTCGTTTTCCTGTTTAACTTCTAAAAAACTCTGAAAAAAAATTTATTTAATTTTTAGGGAAGTTTCAGATTGAAAATTTTGGTTTAGATTTGTACGTTTTTGAACATTTTACATGTAGGCTTATCATGTTTGATTGTTCGACTTTTTATAATTTCCCAGATATCATTAGCGCTATTTCTAGTAAGTCCGCCTTGATAAATTGGAGGCCTACCGTTGAGTCAGTTTTTTTATGTTCCTCATTTCTAGTGGTCAAACACCGAACGTTTTGTTCGACATGGAGGTACATCAGCTACGAGTTAATAAACCATTTTTGACTTGATATTATTAACAAAAACTGATTTCATCGATGATAAAATTTATTGTAGTTTTTGTGTGGTAAAAACTACTTGAAGGTCGATAAAACTTTGTAACCTGCTGCGAAAAAATGTCTTTTTCATCTCTATAACGAACCATCAGCGTTGGTGACTTTACTACCTTTTGTCATTGAGTTTCAGAACTCTTCACACTGTCCAGAGGTTTGACTTTGCCCTCAATGATTTTGTGCAAGCCGTCTGCAGCCACATTTGCGGACCAATTTTTAAAGTACTGATTTGTCAGCCATTGCGCCCTGTTAGTTTCCACCGACTATATATCAGCCATGAAACTTTGAAAGAATCAAGATAAATTTATGGTCTGAATCAGTTCGCAAATAATTCAAAACTGTTTCATAGACCAAGTCGGTTAATTTTTTTAAGCAAGCTTTTCTATGTAGGAAATATTTTAAAATTTTCAAGTTATTTCAAGAACCAAATTGGTTTTTGGAAAGTTTTTCGTTTCAAAAAATCTATTCTACTTTAAATATATTCATGAGTTTTTCATATTAAAGTTTTTTTTGGAGCGAATGTTTGCAAAAACCTATGTTGTTCATAAGTTTTTCAGCCTATGGAAAGTTTTTGTTTTTCTTTAGCTGAATCAGCTAGCGCAAAACTCAATTTTTTCCTAAGCAAAATATTCAACGTATGAATTTTTCCGACATATTCCAAGAAACAAACCGTTCCTCAAAAATTTTAGTGCGCAAAAATTCATTTTTGTTTAAGCAAGCTAAGTAAACTATTCAAACTTGAAAGATTTCCAATTGTTTCTTTGACCGAAATGTTTGAATAAAACGTTTTTCTCTAAATGAACTAACTGAGCAATGCATTTTCAAAAACTTCAAGTTGTTTCTCAGACTGAAACATTTCCAACAGAAGAATGTTTTTCGAGCCCGCTAACTGAGACATGAAGTTCAAATTAATCCAAAAACGTTTCTCAGACAGATTCTTTTTGTGAAAATCTAAATTTTTTTTATGCAAGCTATTCAGGAAAGCAAATTTAGAAACATTCCAAGTTGCTTCATAGGGCGAATCAAATCACGAAACCAATACTGTTTACTAAGCAAGCGACCGAAGCTATTTATACTTGAAATGTTTCCTCTTTTTCCGTTAAGCAAAATGTATGCCAAAAATTTTGAGCTTTTATGAAAGTTAAAAATTTTTCAAGTTATTTCATGGTCTGAATCAGCTCTCGAAAAGTTCAAATTTTTTGAAGAGAGCTATTCCACCTATGAAATTATGAATTATTTCAAATTATTTCATAGACCAATTCGGTTTGCGATATGGTTAAATTTTGTCAGCCAGCTAATCAAGGTATAAAACTTTGAAACAATTCAAGTGATTTCATGAACCGATTTTTTTAAAGAAAAACGACTCCACTAAAAAAACTTTGTAAATTACTTCTTGAAGCGATTCGGCTTGCAAAAATGTCAGTTGTTTGTGAACTATTTAGCTCACAAAATGTTTTAATACTTTTTTTTATCAACTGAAATGGCTGTAGTAAACTACAAACTTTTCTTTAGCAATGTTCCAAACTCTTTGATGAAGCAAATCGTTTTGCAAAAAATTTTACAGCTAACTAACTTCTGAAGCATTGTAATATTCAACAGACTGTATCAATTCGCGTCAAAATTTCAAGCTATTCTAAGCAAACTATTCAAGCTAAAAAACTTTGTAACGTCTCAAGTCATTTTAAAAACGATTTTGTTAGCCAAAAGTTTTAAGTTTTTCTAACCGAACTATTCAAGCTAAGACTCAAGTGATTTTATAGAACGATTTTGTGAGCCAAACGTTTCAAATTTTTCTAAGCAAGCTATTCAAGCCATGAAAATAAGAACTGTTTCCAGATTATTTATAGACTGAGTCGGTCCGCCAAAAAGTTAAACGCAAACTTTTTAACGCAAACTAATTAATTTCCAGCAATTAAGTTTTGTAATAATTCAGTTGATTTCATATTTCAAAATGGTTCACGAAAGCTCTTAGCGTTTTTGAACGAACTAATCAAACTATGAAACCTTGAAACATTTCAAGTAACTTCACAGATCGAAACGGTTCGCAGAAAATTGAAATTTTTGTTAAGACAGCTGTTGCAGCAAAAAAAAAATTTGAAAGACTTCAAAGTTTTTCATAAACCGAACAGTTCGAGAAAAATTTAAGTTGTTCTATGCAGCTATTCAGTTTGATTTTTTCAAACCAACTTTATTAAATTTGATACTTTTGTTGTGAATGTATAATTTGAGAAAATTGGGTCCAGAAACAAAAAATTTAATATAAAAGAAATGTTAACATTAGTAATCATAGTTGGAATCAGAAGGAAAATTGATGCGTTGGAAAATAAACCGACAAAAATACTTAGAAGTAAAATCAAACTCAGTGAAACAATTAAATTTGAAAAATTAAAAATTAATAGCTGCTATACTCAAAAATTGGTTATCTAATTGTGTGATTTTGAAAAAAATGATGACATTCTCCTCTAAATACCCTCAAAATTGTCCGTGAAAATATGAGCAAAATAAAACAAGGATAGCCGGTTGTTGTGCAAGTAGCACAGAATGTTTCGACCACCTTCGTAGAAAAAAATCTTAGAAAAAAAACTTACTTATCTTCAATTTAGCGTCGTTTCGTCTCAGTGGTGCAATTATAAAACTATACAAACGAAAAGGAAGGTAATAAAATAGGCAAAAAAATTTACAATCATCTTCAAAAAAACGAAAATTAAAAAAAAGAACATTAAAATTTTTTGTAATTTTTCGCGTTATAAGAAAGTTTTATATTTGTACAAAGTTTTTTATTAAGCTTCCAAAATAGTGCTCTCTTTAGTAGATTCTTATTTGTATTAACCTAAATGTCCAATATTTAAAATAATGAACGTTACTCGATCGCTGTACTCGCTCGAAATTAGACTAAAACTAAAAAGAAAATTAACCATTTTTTCTCAACATTGAGAACAATTTTTGAGTTTTGTTTGTCTTTCGAATCACGACTGAAAAGTCTTTAGAATGATACATCACTCGATCCATTCCAGTTATTTTTTGTTGTACGTGGTTTTGCGTGGAAAACAAGAACAAAAGAAAAGAAAAAAAATAAAACACATCCGAATACAAAGTTCCTCCACATTTTTCAAAATATCGTATTTTTCTCCGCTTTCCTCGACCGAATACAGAACGTCTTGACCCGGAATAGGATCATTTTCAACGCGTTTGAACCCGCTACAAATCACGGAACTTTCTTTCAGGGGTATTTTGTTAAGCATATTCGAATTTAAAAAAGCCGCTTTCCAGAGGATCTATTACGGATATACTTAAAAACATTCCCCCAAGAAGTGCACGCTGATAAAAATTGCAAATTTGTGTAAAAAACTTGAAATGTAGCGAGTCTTTAAACTACAGGCTCTTACATAGGCTTGTTAATCGACAGACATGCTAAAAGGCCGGTCTCCTGCTAATTTATCGCTTTTATTTATAGGGGTTGAGATTCTTGAGTAGATACCATAGCTGTTTGGGGATTGTTAGCTAGATACTCAAATAATTTTCCACTGCACAATAATGCCTTTTTTTTGTTATCGGTATTTAGAAATTAAAATATCTTTTACCCTCTAGTTTAGGAGTTAACTGTCCTTTCGTTAATGCACTATGTGACACAAGAGTGTGCTTGTAAGGAGGTGTTGGTAGTGCTGAATAAGTGAATGATCGCCACTATCGGTCTTGTCTCGCCGGTCGCTCACCCCTCCCCTCTATACAACTTATTTCTTCATACGTTTCGTCTTGTTTCTTCTCTTATGTTTTCACTTCACTTCTCGTCTGTTAGCTAAAAACGGCTCAATTGTTCTTATTTACAAAGTTCACCATGACAAGAGTTGGTACTCAAATTAATCGTATTAAAAATTGCACCTACTATCCCGGCGTGAATAAACTTAGCATTTCAGTTGTGAAACATGTTTGAAATTGCCTTCATCAGCTTAAAAGAAAGTTACATATAAATTGAAACAGTTAAATGTGGCCAGTTTAAAATAATTAGTCATGTAGCTTCAACCGAATGTGACCATAAGAAAACTATTGGTATGCATTGTTCCACCGGATCTTAAAGACACTTAACGAAATCAAAAAATGTGGCAACTTAAATTCAATAATTTTAGTACATTCTATGCTTATTTAACTTTTTTTCTTAACCGTGCAAACCACCACTTCATTTTGAGTGTTTGCAGAAACAGAAACGAAAAAATAATTTTCGTATGTTTGCTCTGCCTATATGCGCCTGTGACTCTGACCATATTTGGAAAGTGTCCCTACCACCTTACTAAGATTTGTTGTGACGTCCATAAGTTCTTAGACTGTTGATTGTTTAAACACCAAATACCATTCAGCACCAATTCAATCTGGTTTTGGCTGGCTTTACATTTTTATCGGCTTGTGAACGTGCCAATTGTTTCTAGTGTTTGTTTTTGTCCAGAAGGAGTTTGAATTTGTTCACGTATGCTTCTCACAAACCGCAGAGTGTACGTCTAGACATTGTTTTTACCAATTCAAAGAGTCATTTCGAATAATTTTCAGATTTGGTTTTCACTTTTAATAGTCATTCGGTGAAGTCGATTTGGAGAACTTGGATCTAAATTCCCTATTTATTGACAATCGTAATAAAGTTTTATTCCTTACCTACTTTTTACCCATTATACCCATTTCTATGCCCTGACAGCCCTGTGTTGATTAATGACTTAGTCTGTTATTGGTCAGTTGCGGAGAAAAGGATTAGCCAGTGGAGCTCCAACATTACTCTAATCTCGAAGCTCTTGACTGTGGTTCCAATTATTTATGGTTCCTGGTTAGATAAAACCCCTTTGCAAGTAACCAATTTGCTCAGAATATTGTGGAAAGTGAATGCCTTTCTGGTCACATTCCCATATTTGCAGTTCATACCCACTAATCCCACCGGAGACCCTATTCAAATCAATAAATCAGCGTCTTACTTTCTGGGAAAAATCGGATTCCTCGTAATTTCCAAAAGTCATTGCTTATTTAATTGCGTTAGTACTTGCCACTTTATTTCACCTTCAGACTCCCTTCAAGTCGACTCAGCCTACTTTCTGCTCATTTCAACACAAATTTCTCTGGAAGTTACATTTTTTCAACCACTTTAATTGTGTTCCAGAGAACGGACATTGATCGACATTGCCAATATATCTCGCACAGTTTGAAAATTATTATTCAGGATTTTTTGCAAAAGCTATTGCTGAATTAGACACGATATTGCTGACATTATTAAGATAGATACAAGATATTAATGCGAAAAGTTTCATACTTTCTTGAAAAAAAAACTTGAAAAAACTGTTTGTCTGCCCATTCTTACCATAAGAAGTAATGGACAGGGAAAGCTAAAGGTTAAAAGGTACCAATCGGCAAACAAACAAACCGGCGACATCTCAGCGTGACCTCATTTTGATCATCATTTATAAACATAGTCAGTTGGCAACCCTAATTCGAATCCTAACTTGAACAATAGAGCTCAACTGTTTGATTTTACTCATTAACTGAACAGAGAAAGAGAGAGTGTCCATTTTGCCCTCTGTCTTAATTCTCATCTGTGATTCTCAGTTAGTTCTTACGGATATTCGGATCAGCTTTGCACTTTTATCATCACACATAAAACACCTTTCAGCTGTGCCAAGTTTGAATAGTTTTTGAAGTGCAGCAGAAGTCAACTTTGCTAATTGATTCAACTTTGCTCATTTCAGTTATTTTTCAGAACACCTGTTGAGCCTGAATTCTTTATTGCCTTAATTTCGACATTAAGCTTTTTCTGAATTATAATTCATTTGCAAGTTATCTGGAAGAAATCGGAGGAACCAAACTATGGACAAGGAAGTGGAATTTAGAGGGAAGTTGGAAGACTTTTTCGACGTCGGACCAGAAATAGGAAAGTGAGTATATGTCCAGGGGCGTGTCTAGGAGGCGTATTCGCCAGGTGTTGGAAGGATATAGGATAAAAGCGAACTACCTAAAAGCCTTTATTTGCGAAAAAATGTCGAGAAAGTTTGCAAAAATCTGCCATTTCGGGTAGTTTGATCAAAAGTTTATGTTTTTCGGCGTACACTATCTTGAATTTGTTTCATTTGGAGTTGGGAGTTCAAGGCGAATTGGAAGTTGTTAGGCTAAAAATGGATGTAAAGTGTCAAAGATTAGGCAGTGTGGACAACTGAGGGTCGAAACCATATAAGGAAAGGAGAGCAATGGACTCCGCCTTGCATCTGCCTCTCAGTAAATTATGGAACGTTTCAGAAAATATTCTGTTCTAGTTCGTTTTGTAAAATGGTTCGATAGCTGAAACATCCCTTCATAAAAACTATTCTGGATCTTTTAACAATTTATTTGTTATTCGTCAACTATTTATCAAAACTGCGAAATATGAAAGTGGGAAGCAAACAACTATGTTTTATGAGGCAGTCTATAATCTAAACAAAACCTTATTCAAGAATTTCATAACTGTTTCGTTCTCAATAACAACTGCTTCTTCTCAGCCAAACTCAACACTTAATGAACCACATGAAGAGAACTGTAATGCAAGACTTGTCTTCATTTCAGAGGTCGATTTGCCAAAGTGCGAGTTGTGAGAAGAAAGAGAGACGGGGAAGAGTTCTGTGGCAAGTTCCAGAACAAGCGCAGATCCCAGAAGCACTTCAAACAGGAGATCCACACCCACACAGTCTGTTCGCCCCACCCCAGATTCCCCACCCTCGAGGGCGTCTACCACTGCCAGGCTGAAGTGGTCATCGTCATGCAGTAGTTAGTCATCACACACTCACTTCAAAACGACTCTCAACAATTGCAAACAGATAGCCGGTTGCTGTGCAAGTAGCACAGAAAGTTCCGACCACGTTAAAAAGTTTAATTCTATCAAACATCGAAAGTTTTAACCGCTTTTTACCCGAAGATGAGAAAACTTTTCGGAAATTTTTTTATGTCATTCAAATTTCAATCAAATGGACTTGAATATGATAAATCACTCGTTCCATTTAACGATTTATTCATGGTACCTGATTTTGTGGACAAAAGTTTCTTGTGGAAAAAAGAGCCTATTTTAATGATTGGAACAACAATAGAACCCACGTACCCAGAAGCTATTCATAGTAAATGCCAGCTTGTAGGCAATATCGATGAACTTGAGCAACTTAAGTGGTCAAAAAACGGTGTTTTTTTGGTCAATACATTTGGTCAAGAAGAACACACCCAAATTAGATTTTACCTGTTCGTAGACGTGATTGGATCACGCTACTCAGACTTGTGCGAAAAACTATGAACCAAATGTTGCTATTCTAAACGCTGAAAATTTGTTCCCACCCAAAATCAGGTATCACAAATAATCACTGGAATACATAGAGTGATATCACAATGAAGCCCCTGCAGTTGTGATTCGAACCAAATTACAAAAAATTTCGACTACTTGTCATAGTATCACGAAAAAAAGGTTCGAAACTTTTGATTTTTTGTCCAATTTCAAAGGCTTATAAAAGAAGAGTAAGCTTTTACTTAAGCCGTAAAATTTGGCGCCTTCTTTCTTGGCAATGAAAATTTTATAATTATCCAACAAATATGTTTTAAGCTCTATTTAAAAATCTTTGTTAAATTTAGTAGCTGATTCACAATGTTTATTGAATATGCCTAACTTCTAGGCTTTCATTGTTCAAATCTTGTCATCACTTCAAGGACAAAAACACAAAACACGACACATTTGTAAGAAAAGAAGCTTTTTTGTTATTGTGGTCGGAACCTTCTGTGCTACCTACACAGCAACTGGCTATCCTTATTGTTCCGACATTCGATACAAAAGTAACGGAGTATTTGTGCTCGGGTGGGTTTTTTTTTTCTTCAGACAAATTTCGAATTTTTTACTAGCCATTTTTGGCGGAATTTTTTAAATATCATTCACAACGTATTGCTGTTCTGAGCTTAAATTTGAAAGGATATTTCACCTGTGATCACTTTTCGTAAAGTTATGGGGGTTTAAAAGTTGTCATTTTGGAAAATTTGGGATAATTAACGCGCGATATATTTCGCGCTATTAACGCGTAAGCGGAGATTTATTCCGTCTTAGAACTCGTTCGAAATTGGTTGATGGAAGCTTATTTGCCATAATCGATTTGTTGAAAGGAGTAAAATTTATCACTTTGTACCTTATATGGATGGCATGTGGAAAGATAATTTTCACAAAAAAATCTCAATTATTTTTCAATTATTTTTTTTACATTTAATTTTACATGTTATTACTGCTCATAGACCGTAAAAGGCAGTCGGAACATTCAGCAGTCCTGTTGTTTTTGTATGATAGTTTTGCTGAAACATGGCTTAATTAGTCGCTACACCTTTGTAGCCATACCAATTCCTAGTTGGTACTTTATTTTCAGTGACTCTCCTTTTATTGTTCCGACTTTTGAAGAAAACGGAATATTTATGCTCGGTGTGGTTTTTTTTATGTAGTCTATTTTCGCCGATCGAAATAATAGTTTTTGACAAATTTTTTTAAAACCCCATTGACGGTATTAACTTTCTGAGTTCAAATGTAAAAAGATATTTTACCTCCGATTAGTTTTTGTAAAGTTCTGGTGGTTTGAAAATTTGCCAAATTTGCCATGTTCTGGACTAAATTATGCGCGCTTTGAAGAGTTTAATCATAATGCTGAGAGCGTAACGCGAATTATTTATGCGTGGCGAATTATATCGCACAACAAAATCGTTTCATCGTTTCAAATTGAACTGAGGCTGGCTAATTGGTGGTCGTATTAATTTCGTACGACTCAAAATTGTACTCTTTGATATGTCCAAAATGCATAGTTTTTCAAAATTTTTTCCCAAAACTATTCGATATGAAATAAGTAAGGGACAGTCGGAATACTCAGGGCTTTGCCCTGATATACCAGCAGTCTTGTTGAAGTTCAAAAATATCTGTGAAAACGTAATTCTCACAAAAATCTTCAATTTCTAAGAAGTTGACAAGAAGTTTCAACATGTGATTTTCTCGTAAACTTTGTTTTGGCCTAAATAACAGTTTAAGCGGTCAATAGCAACCATTGGGGGTGAAGAATACACCTGTACAACAAGTTGACACGCTACTGCTAAAACCATCTGAAAGTTTTAATGAGAATTGTATCTCACTTAAAATTCTACTTAATTTCTTCCCTTCGCCTGCATTATAGCTAGTTAGATTTAATGTATTGTTAAATTTTTATCTCTTTCAGAAAATAAAAGTTAGACTATTTTTCTCTGTATTCAAGCGGAGAACAAACCTTAAATGGTCATAAAGTCATATGGCGCGATTGGAAACAGATGGTAGGAAATTGAACAACCATCCGCCTTGGGCTCTTTCAGAGTACCTCTAGCCGCGGGACAGTTTCAATTGACGAATTCATTCAAGTTTGGAATTCAGTTCAGTTCGGATAAGTTAGACTTGGTGCTGTTTTGTGTAAACAAACAAAGTGGCTATATGAGTCTTAACTGTAAACACTTTTGAAGTCGAAGTTTCCGTTTCAAATGATTCTGCAGTGCTTCGCGATTAACATCAATGCCCGAGAAAGCCTCTTTGAAACAGCCTAAAATCAGCTAAGAAACGTGTTCTTATCGCAGTCTGCTGATTTTGATCTTAAATTCTTAAAAAAGAAACAGCGATTAAACTTAATGCGCCATTTCAAGACCTAAATCGTAAATTTTAAATTAACAATTAAAACCCCAATGTTTTCTCAACTGTGAAACACTCACATTCATAGCCAAAAATGTACATTATTTGAAACAAGTTTAGAAAAAACACAATTATTTGTCACAAACAACAAAAAGCACAAACAAATTGCAGGCGGACAATTTGCTAAGATTCGTTTTCGACGAGAACTTTGAGAAAACAATTTCTTCACAAGGAAAAATATAAAAATATCTGTCTCTATCATTGTTTAAGTAACTCGACGTTCTTCATTGTGCTACAATGAACAAAATAAATATTGAATAGGCATTGACATAAAAACGGTTTTTTTTCGAAACTATTTGGTAACTTCTTTCAAAAATCGTTGCATTTTTGGCGCTAATTTTCGCCTTTCAGCTGATTAAAGTTTTGGTATGTATTCTTTTAAAAGCTGTCTGACACTTCGACTAAACAAAAAAAGCACTTCGGAAGTGTCAAGGATATCAAAATTATCTTGTTTGTTTGTTTTTAGTGCACGTGGGGGCGAAATGTACCCCTATTGTGTTGGAAGTGACCTTGAACCTGATGGGACAGAATGCGATGGTGGCAGCCCCGTTAGGGGATTAGAGGAAGATGATCAACAGGTGTTCTCGGAGAATGACGTCATAAGATACACTGTGCAGCTGCTGGAAGCTCTCCAGTTTCTACACTCGCACAACATCCTCCACTTGGACATTAAGGTCAGTCAGTCAGGCAGTCAATTAAGCTCAACTGGAGCTCAGATTCGGTTAAAGTCAGCCAGCCATCAACCCTGGTTGACCAACAATTTTCATCACATAATTTCCATATCTCAACAAGACTGCTCGTATCAGGACGAAGCCCTGAATGTTCCGACTGCCTTTTAAGGTCTATGAAGCAGTAATAACATGAAAAATTAAATGTAAAAAAAAAGAAAATAAAATGAAGCTTTTTTGTAAAAATAAGAGGTTTTTTTGTGAAAATCATCCCCCCAAACGCCACATAAAGTACAAAGTGATAATTTTTGCTTCCAGTAACAAATCCATTATGGCAAATAAGCTTCCTTCAAGCAATTTGGAACGATAAAGACGGATTAAATCTACGCTTACGCGTTAAAAGCGCAAAATATATCGCGCGTTCATTGTCCCAAATTGGCCAAAATGGCAATCTTTAAACCCCCATAGCTTTACGAAAAATGATCACAGGTAAAATGTCTTTTCAAATTTAAACTCAGGCAACAATAGCTTGTGTATGATAGAAAAAATTCCGTCCATGGCTTGTTAAAAAGTCGAAATTTGTGTGAAGAAAAATACCCACCCCGAGCACAAATTTTCCGTTACTTTCGTATCGAAAGTCGGAACAAAAAGCCGGTTGCTGTGCAAGTAGCACCTAATCTTTCGACCACTTCATGAAAAGACCATAATTTTCTAAACTTTTTTCAAATGGTTTATAGTGCGCGTTGTATTTAGAGAACTATACAAACGCGTAGAAAGTTAGTGAACTAGGCATAAGCGACAAAATTGTTCTTCAAAAATTGAATGAAAAACAAAAATAAGATAAACCTTGCGATTATTTTTTCTAATTTTGTGCATGTTTTTTTTGAAACATTTATTGTCGAAAAAGCGCTAATTGAAACTTCCAAAACTAGTTTTCTCTTGAGGAAAATTAGGTTTTTGTGCCTAAAAGCCGAAAATAAAATTCAAATTTCATATAAAGAACGTTACTCGATCATTTTTTTTCTCGAACACGAGCTAAAACTCAAAACATTTAAACCACTTTTTTTCAGCACGAACAACTCATTGAAACAATTTTAACGTTCATGCAGCAACTGAAAGGCCTTTACTTTGATATATATTTTGACCCACTCCGATGATTTTTTTGTGGCACCTGTTTTTGTAAGAAAAAAGTGAAAAAAAACTAAAACGAGCCGAAATACAATTTTCTGGCTCATTTTCAATGGTCGAAACAACAAGATAGCCCAATGTTGGCAAATAGCACTGATTGCTCCGTCCATATTCATAAAAACTACAATTTTTGTTTTCCATTTTGTTTTTCAAATTGGTGTGGCTTATAGTGCGTGGTGTGTTCAAGTAACTATATGAACGCGTAGTAAATTAGTGAAAAGTGCATAATTGATAACATTTTTCCTCGAATAGTTATGAAAAAACTCAAAAGATGTAATGACCCATTCCGATGGTTATTCGTGATATTTGATTTTGTAAGAAAAAACTAAAACAAACTCGAATACAAAGTTCCTCCTCATTTGCTATAGTCACAACAAAAATTTCCAGTCAAACATTTTCATACACACAAAAATTTGTGTGAAATTTTTATGATACGCTTTTTTCTTTACATGAAACTTTCATGAGTAGCAACTTTCCATGCAAGAAAATTGTATGATAAATATTACTTGTGTTCAAATTTCTTCGAGTCAAGGTCCGCGACTTGTGTCCAGATTTCGAAAATTGAGCCGAGCTCGAAATGAAACCTAAAATTCAAATTCTAAATCTCCAAAATCCTTGCAGAAAGTTGCGAAAATTTGAAAAGCCAAGAAAACCGACTTTTTGCCCAGATTGTTGCAATTTAATTTTGATTGTAACTATGAGACTTGCGTCTCAGATCGAAAACGAGGGGACTGTCAAACAGAAATTTGAAATGCAACTTTCCTCCGAAAATTTCCTGTACCAAAAGGGAAAGACTGTTTGTTTTTCGAGAAATTTTGTCCGCAAATAAAATGTCCTGGATGCAGTCTTTCATGCATCAATGAGGTTAAATGGACTATATAAAAGCACGCTTTCGGAGATAAACAAGTTTAACTATCAAAACATTTTTATTGCTGGCTGTAATCGTATGGCAATTTCGCCTCATTGAAGTTCAGGTAGAATAGCCTCAGAAGTTGGGCCAAATATTTGTGCCAAAGGTTAAGCTGCGATTTATTGTTTATTGTTTTACTGCTTTTATTAGAATATATGCAAGAAGCAAACAATTCTCAGTTTATCGGCTAGTCTTAGATAAGTGGGAATCTTCTGACGAATTTATAAACATTTTTCGCAATGGTGAAAATTGGCTAGTCGAGTGCTAGCAGAGGGGGGGGGGGTTGTTCATCTATGCCAAATTACTACAATGCCGAACAGGAAAAAATGTTCAACAGTGGCAAAAATTGATGCAAAGATTGGAAAACAATGGATTCAATTCTTGAACTGCTCGCTTTTGCGTGAACTGTTGCCTCAACACTCGGTTCTTTCGGAAATAACTGAGAGTAAAGTTTGCGTTCAAAAGCAACTGTTTGCGTTCAAAAATTTGTGACGTCCTTTTTTGCGGTTTTGTTGTTTTTGATTGTGTTAGCATGTGGCATCAATTAAAATCGGTAATTCCACCTTTCGCCTTTCAGCACACGTTGAACTCGTTAACTTGTTAGTTATTCGATTAAGCCAGACAGCAGTAAAGTTAGACTTTTGTTTAGTTGACCATAACATTCTGTTTTCGGCGCTGCTGTTTTCGGCTCTGTTTTAGTGCCTCCTGTAAGCGTTTAATTTGGAACTTGGATCCCATTAATCTTAAGCCTTGGATTAGGATTGTTTTTCAATCAAGTTATAGATCGTTTGTGAATCTGGTTCTGTTTGAAGTTTTGGTAAACTACAAAAAGACAAGTTGGTTTCAAACACTGAACTTAATAGGCATTTATGAGAGCCAAAAGACAAACAAATAACCCATTTCCGGTCGATTTGAAACGAGTCTGCACGGATCAGGGAAAAACTTCCGATTGTCTTGTAGGGTATCTGATAAACTTTTAGCAAAAAAATGATAAATTGTCAAAAATATTATGCTCTTTCTCCTATAGCTCCCCAATAAACTAAAGACCCTCAAGTTACCAAAAACAAGGTTTAAAGGTCTTGATTGTTTGTTACTAATCAGGGTCTAAAATGAAAAAATAACGTCAAAAATTGAATCATTTTCGATCGTTTCAAGAAATTTTCCCTTGCGATGTTAAGAAAAATGTGACAGTAGTCTTATCTACTAGGCTTTATTTTGACCATTTTGTTCGCACAATTCAATTTCCAATGATTTCTGTCAACGGATTGAATTGCCGCTTGCGCTACGCATTAAAAAAATACGCCCTGATATGCACTCAAAATCAATTGAAATTAAAACAATACTGCTCGTATAAGGGCGAAGCCCTGAATGTTCCGACTGCCTCTTAAGGTCTCTGAAGCAGTAATAACATGAAAAGTGAAAGGTAATAAATAAAAAGCTTTCTTCAACCAATTTGGAGCGAGTTCTAAGACAGATTAACTCGCCGCTTACGCTTTAATTGCGCGCAATATATCGCGCGTTAATTGTCCCAAATTGGCCAAAACGGCCACCTCTAAACCCCCTTAACTTTACAAAAATGATCACTGGTGAAATATAAGAAAAAATACCCACCCCAAGCACAAACCTTCGTTACGAAAGTCGTAACAACAAGAGTGCTCATGTATCAAGGCCAAGCCTTGATTGTTCCGACTGCAATTAAAGGCCGATAACAAAATTTTTTTGCTTCAATAATTGACGAAATAATGAAAAAACAGCAACAAAAAGTTTCTTTCATTTTTTTCTTCAATTTATCACCCCGTACGCTATGTTATACAAAGTCTGTTTTTAATGTCTAACTGTGGTTAATGTCTAATAAGACTTAATCACTGGCCTCAACGCGTGTTATAAATACGCATTATTGTGGGCATTTATTATCACAGCTTCGCCAAATTCGCAGTTTTCAAACCTATGTAATTTTCAAAAATCACAGGTCAATTTTTCTGAACTTGAGCTCGAGACAACAGTATCTTCCATATGATCTAAAAATTTTCTGCCAAAACTGCTCTAACAAAGAAGGCGAAAATTGACTGAAGAAACAAACCCACCCCAAGCATAAAAACTTTGAACTTTCCTCGAAAATCGGAACAATAAATATTTGAGTAAATACCCTGAAAGATGCAACTTATATCAATTGTATTTGATATTGATGGTGAGCGGAAGGAGAACCATGGAAAATTTCTATGTATATCTATAACTTATGTGCCTTTTTCCTATCAACAAGACTGCTCGTATATGGAAAAAAAATGTTACAATAGAAAAATTTAATTCAATTTTTCGGGAATTTATTTTTGAAAATTTATTCTTCACATGCATTGCAAATTACAACTGATGTAATTAGCGTCTTGCATCATATAATGGTTCCAAATAGCTTGCTTAAAAAAAGTTAGTTAGTACGATTGATCATCTGGATCAATTAGCCTCTCAAGCGTTACCAGAACGAAATATATCGAGCTCTAATTGTCCCCAATTGTCCAAAATGGCAAACTTCTTTCTAAATCTGTGTTCAAGTTATGAGTACTCCTTAGATAGTTAAAAAATTCTCCTCAAAAGTTTTAGGCAAAAGAAGAAGAATTTTATCAAAATTCATACACTTTATTCGGACCGATTTTGTATTTTCAATGAATCTTCTTTGACGGAAGCCTTTTTGCTACCTGAAAATTATCTTTGAGCTTGACTCGTGAAAATTTTCCACCTGCGATAACTTTGCCGTAAAATTTTGGTTTGAAAAGTGCCAATTTGTGGTAATCAATTGGAGCATAAAACAAATACGACGAAATTATTCAGCTCAGATTTCTTTCCAAATTGAATTGGACTGAAAAATTGATCTCTATATGTTAGTAGATTTGACATATGTTACTTTGAGTCCTTGAGTGGGGAACACATTTGCCAACAAGTTTTTTAGTTTATGTTTATTTAACTCACTTTTTCTAAGCTTTTTTAGCGCCATCTTTGAAATGAAAACTCTCTGTGAATATGTGAAATGAGAACTATCTTTGCAATTTGAAAAAAAAAATGTTTGAAAAAGCGTTTTATGTGTTTCTTAAGATTATGGCCGGAATGTTCGGTGCTGCTGGCACAACCACCGGTTATCTTTTTTTAGTTAAGCATCCACTTACTCAACGACTATTTAATTATCATTTCAGTTTGCATGTTTCATTTTTTTCATATACCGAAGTTTTTGCAAATGGTCGTAACAACGATATCGAATTAAAGCAATATGAAAAACGACAAACAAGACTGCTCGTATCAGAGCGAAGCCCTGATTGTTCCGACTGCCTTTTCAGGTTTATGCAGCAGAAGTAAAAACATCAAAAAATTAAATGAAATAAAATAAAACGAAAATTTGTTTTTGAAATTTTTTTTGAAAATCATCCCCCACACGTCATATAAAACACAAAAAGATAGATTTCGTTCATTGTAACAAATCAATTATGGCAAACAAGCAGCTTATTACAACCATTTTGGAACCATTTCTAGAACGGGTTAAATCTACGCTTACGCGTTAATGACGCGATTTATATCGCGCGTTAATTGTCCCAAATTGGTCAAAATGGCAATCTTTAAACCTTCATAACTTTACAAAAAATTTCAAATTTAAACTCAGGACAACAATACCTTTTGAATGATATAAAAAAAATTCGTCAAAAATGTCTAGTTAAAAATTCGAAATTTGTCTGAAGAAAAAAAAAACCCACCCCGAGCACAAATATTCCGTTACTTTCGTATCGAAAGTCGAAACAATAATATATTGATATCAAGTATTGAATGACGTTATGGGAAAACAAGACATGCTGCTCTTATTCGGGCGAAGCTATGATGAATGTTTCGACTGCCCTTCGACTTGCTTGGCTTTTCGGTCAGAGAATATGTACGTTTTTTCATTTCACAGGCCCACAAGTAAAAACAACTTCCTCTAAGTGTTAGAACTTGACCTACTAACTAATGAAATTGATAAATAAAGTGCCAATAAGTTTATTGGACCGATTTACTGCTCGCCTCGAGGTAACAAGTTTAGAAAAACCGTTCGATTTGTTTGACGCCTGTTGTATGTCGTTAAAACCACCAATTATTCAGGGTGAACTTTCAGCATGAACAGCGAAATTTCCCGCTGCTTCGAGTTAGATAAGACATAGTAGTACGTCAATTGAAAACTTTAGACCGCGTTATTTATGTTTATCAAAATTGGATTCTAGGTTGTGGGCCACTAAGATCCTCTCCAATTAAGTTCCAAAAAGAGATTTTGCACAATTGGAATTGCAAAAAGTGGCCACGTGACCAGTTCACTAGCCTGTCAGTAATCTAGAGCCCTTGCCGAGTTATAAACCCAGTTAATGAGTTTTGGGAAAGGAGATATGATACTTCGTGCTCCAAAGATACCACGAGAACAGTTTACAAATTAGCGTGTCATTTTTAAACAAACTCAACTCTAAACCAAGTCTGTTTATGCTGTTTTGTGTGTTTACATGACCGGTCATTTTTATTTCAGAGGCTGCTATATGTCAGTTGTCATTTTGGAGCTCTGAAAGTCAACAAAATAAAAATGTATCCAAAATGCATGTTTTGTTTGGCCATGAAGTCTAAAATTCGCAGCAAGGAATTCCATTCATGAGTTTGTTGGGAAAGCCATGCGATCAAATTAGGGCCAAAAGTCTGCAGACATCCTGTCACTCATTTGCCAAACATGTTATCTCTGATCGTGTTTTCTATCTGCTGAACAAACCTCGTTTTTAACCTGAAATAATACCTGTTCACAGATTGGGCTTGTCTCTTCCCAGAAACCCAAGCATTTCTGCTAACCAGTTACCCAATTACTAAGTTTTCTCGATGTTTAGTGAAAGTTGCAAGAGGATTTGTCTGATCGGAGAATTATGTCTGAATTGTTAACTTTCACAAGTTGTTTTGGCCTCGTATTTCGAACAAAGGAAGGCGTATATGTGCCAGTGGCGCTGAGTTGTTCTTCACACAATTTTGACCGAAATAGCCACTATTTTCAGGGGTCTTATAAACATATTGATGGCTTCGAAAAAAAACTCAAAAAAGAAAGGAAGGCGGTTCGGTTCCTTTGCAAGTAGCACCAAACTTATGACCATAGTGGTCAATGAACATAAAAAAGAAAAAGAGAAAAAGATTCATTGAAAATTAGTAACTTTAAAAAAAAGTTATCAATTTATCAGAATTGACCCGCATAAAACATGCTTTTAAGTAAAATATTTAATAAACCTTTTTTACCTTAAATTTAAAATAAAATTAAGTAATTCCCGCAATTAATGAAAAATGAATTTCAGCAATTTTTTGTTGAGTATAGTCTGAATGACAGAAAAATTATAAAAATTCAGACCAGTTTGGCTCGACGCTACGACAGTTTTCAATTTTTGAAATCCACATCATGAACAACAAAAATTTACCAGATACCACACTTGATTTTTCCTTGCACCTAAAATTGGATTTCTGATCGATTTTATGATCGAATTCATGATCAATTAAAATTATCCAAAGAGATTTCTCCTTCCCGCTTTTGAGTACCTCAACGAAAACTCGTAAGGAGAAAGTATAATATCATATTGGTCCCCTTCAGACTTGATTTGGTCTAATTTACATTTGGAAACACCAAAAATTGGGCGAGTAAAGAGTGAGTGAGCTTCTTATCTAATTCTACTGTTTTAACGTGATTTTAGAAATTATCAACTCATTATAGCAGATATTTTCCAATTGATTTAGAGAGCTTATGCGTGTTATGAATATCGCGCGTCAATTATCACAAATTGGCCAAAATAGTAACAAGACTGCTAGTATATCAGGGCAAATTAGTAAAAATGAGTAAAAATTTTGAATTATTCCACGCTTTCTGCGGGAGTCAGAAAAACAGTATCTACACCAACTGAGGAATGATCCAGCTGACATGCAAACCAGCCAATAATACGGAGTAATTTAACAATTCTATGTGAATATTGCGTAACAGTTACAAAATCAAGCATACATATTTCAAATAATCTAACTTCCGATCGGTTATCACCTCGCTGGTTTAGTTATGTCTGGATTTGTTTGAAAATGAACAAACCAGCCGGACTATGCGGAGCAATGTTGTTGGGAATACTGTGTTTGGTTTAGCCACAGAACATGCTTCTGAGTGAGGCCTACCCGAGGGGCGATCTGTTGCTGGGGGACTTCGGACTCAGTCGGCCAGTGGACACCTCCGGACAACAGAGGGTGTTCCAGGGCACTCCAGACTACCAAGGTCAGCCAAAAGACAAGACAATAAGTATCAATTCTTGCAAGTATTTTGCATCATAGGATGACGCTTCTTCATGATATAACTTGGTGCCATTTTTAATTCCTATCGCGACTATTGATCTGTTTTTTTTTATAGAATGATCATTGAAAATTATAACATCATTCAAAATGTGCAGATGATGAATCGAGATATTGCTTCGTTTTTGATAATTGATCACTTTAATAAATACTCGTTGTTTCGGACAAAACTCATTTTTTGAGTTGTTCCAAAACAATCTGAAGAACTGTTTTACCTTTGCCCAATTTTTGTACGCTGTAGACAAATTTTTTGAAATCAGACCAAAAATGACGTTCTGAGAAATTCTTGAAGGTTTGGGTTCTTTTTTCAGCGCACCTCCTAAAAATACTGTAAGCTGGCGTCGGAGCTACCTTCCAAAGTAGAATTCAGAAGTAGATTTCGTAAAAATTTACATTTACAAAGCAGAGGTTCTTTGAGTGGTCAGGGGATGAATCCCTGAGGGACTAAATCAGTTCATCAGCTCCTCAATTCCCCCCCCCCCCCCAACAAGATCAGTTCAGATAAGCATCTGAAAACATCATAGTGGTTTGTTTATATGCCGTAGTTCTATTTGTTTGGCCTAAAATTTGGAGTAGCATCATTGAATAGGTAGAGTTAATTGAATGAAGATTGGTGGATTAACTTATGACTGGATTGTTTCAGCGCCAGAGTTGGTCAACTTCGACCCAGTGAGCACTGCCACAGATATCTGGTAAGCTCAAACTTGTTTGAAAATTGATGCTATTGCGGCTAATATGAAATGAAATAATTACTTTCTGAAGTACCAAAACGGATTAATCCTTAGCATCAAAATGAAATATTAAATATTCAAAGTTTATCAAAAGTTTCAAGTTCTTGCTCGAAACCGTTAAGTTAAACGATCTAGCTCAAAAAAGTCTAAATAAGAGCGATGAATTGAAACCAACTAGGGTTTTATAACTTGCCATAAAGTCTATTTATAATGAAAACAATTTGAAGATGATTGTGTAAAAATTATTTAACAACATCTATAAAAATGTTTGTAAATGCTCACATTATAACTTTTCTCATGCTGTCTCTATCAGGAGTGTGGGCGTCGTGTGCTACATAATGCTCAGTGGTCTCAGTCCCTTCGCGCCCCATCCCGACCCAGACTCGGACAACAACAACAATAACAACAACTCATCCGAATCAGGAGGAGGAAACTCCTCGGAGGACTCGGACTCTGCGAACGTGACTTCGGACTCCTCTGAGCTGGACACTTCCACGAACATCTGCCTCGTGAGATATTACTTTCCCTCGGACCCATTTGACCTCGTCTCGCCCCAAGCGAAGCTATTCATCTCTTCCATCTTCAAGAAACAGCCCAAGTTAGTACAAATAACTACAAAACTGCTATAAAAACTTAAAAGGCAGTCAGTTAAAAATTAAAAGGCAGTCAGTTAAGTTTAAATAATCATATTTTTTTAAAAATATTTACTAGAAAAACGCCGCCAATTCAGTTGAGTATGAGACTCGCGAAATCATGATATTTCATAATTAAGTTATCCAAAAAAAATGTGTTTTTTTTGTGCATTATCTTCATTGTTTGAGGCAATCAATATGGTTCTGTAAATTCATTTATTGTCAAATTAGCTATTTCTGAAGCTTCGAAAAGTATAATTTCTGTTCTAGACAAAGACCTTCAATTGCGGCCCTTTTAAATCATCCATGGCTTCAAGATGGACCACAACTATCACAAAATCACCAGAAGGAAACATCGCCACAATACTCAGACTCAAAAGAAGACAACACTTCTTCGGAAACAACTAAGGGCAATGAAGATAATCAAGCCTCACAGTTTCATAATTTATCAGCGTCATCACCATCACAAGCACTAACGGGTTCCAGAAGCATCATCTCAACCGGAAAAGAACTATATCCGGATGTAAGTCCTATTCAAACCCAGAAAAATGACAATGTTAGGCCTTCACAAATTTCTACCAAAAACAAAGAAAACATGGAAAAACCGTTGAAAGGTGAGATTAGAGATGAAAATAGCGCACAAGACTCAAATAACACGTGGCAAAACACCAGTATGCCGTGTTCGCTTTCCGCAGATGCAATTAGCCGATGTTCATATTGCCGACAATTGATGCTTGCAACATGTGCGTCTTCTGATCAGTCTCAAAAGTGCCACAAGAGTCTCTCTCGGAGGACTTGCCGAGTGAGTGGAGGAACCGAAGAGCAGTCTAGTAGCTCGGATTCGGCGATCGGCTTAAGCGACGAGGAACAGTGTCGAGTGAGTCCAACGCAGAAACATGCGACTGAAGCGATGTCCTGTCTAGAAAACAAGAGAAGCAAGGGTTGCGAAAAGACCGAACAGAGCATGGCCGACGAGGCTGAGAAAGGGACAGGGTCTAGACTGACAGACTTTAGACGCCTGTCCTTCAGAAGCAGAAGGAGAATTTATTCTTCCAAATGAAAAAGCCCAACTGTTCTTGTAACAATTGTGATGTTGATTCAAATTACCATAGACTAAATAAAACCTTTCCCAATTAATTTATGCATTGTTATGGTGTGTATTGCCTCTGAGCAATTTTACCTCTAAATTAATCTAGATTGATTGCAGTTTTCTTACCATTTACTATGTGAATTTTTCGAAATTTCGATTGTGCTGTTGTTTTGTCGAGGATAGTAACAATGGCGGACTTAAAATTTGCCGAAATTAAAAAAAAATGTTTTTTCTTGAATCTATCCAAAAGTTTATCTCATAAAGCAGTACATTTACCCTGATTCAGAAAACTTTTCGATTCTGCCCCTGCGAAGTGCGTAGCTTGCCGGCAAGCTAGTTGCAACCATAAGAGTGCTATGATCTATGTGCTATCTATCAACAACCATCACCAACGCAACCCTTTTATAGGGTTAAATAATGAAAAATTATCGCTTTTAGTTTTAAAATTCAGTTTTAAAGTCTCAAAAACTTTTTGAGCAAATTTGAGAAATTAAAAGGAAACAAAATGTGAGAATGAGTTTCTGATTAGATTAAAAATTAAAAATCAAGTCTACCTCAGGAAAGATGCAAATAGTGCTTAACTTGTCCAAATAGGGGTGGCGTGTCACGGAGCCGAATACCCGGATAGCCGAAAAATAAATTTGTTCTTGGATAGCCGAAAAATAAATTCGTTCCCGGATAGCCGAAAAATAAGTTCGTTCCCGGATAGCTGAAATTTTGGGTCTACTTAGCAATTACCTCCCTTCTGCCCCCTTACCCATTTCTTAATTTCCCGGATAGCTGAAATTTTGGGTCTACTTAGCAATTACCTCCCTTCTGCCCCCTTACCCATTTCCCAAGAGGGGGGAGAGATTCGTTACTAGGTACCATAGGGGTGAAAGAGATTCTACAAACTTACTTAAAAACCTTGTTTTCATTGTTTTCATTACCCTTTCTCTACCCTTTGTTTCGGTACCCTTTCTCTACCCATCCCCCCCCCCCCCACACACACACTTAGTCCGATAATTCTTCCTTCCCATTCCCTTCCCCCTCCCAATTACTTCCTCTGACTACCCACATTTACCCCCACCATGCCCCCCCCCCCGTTTTTGGGATTTTTTGAAAAAATTTTGACCAAAAATTTCCGTTTTTCAGCGCGTGCTCCCCTTTAAAATTAGCATATACTGAAAAATTTTAGGGTTTCTCGGCCGAAAATGGATATCATAAAACATACCAAAGAGGGACTCTTTGGTTGTTGAGGGGGTCAAATCCCTGTAGTAGTCGGACTTTTGCTATTAATTAATTCAATGAGAGCAAAAGTATTAACCAATCAAATCTCTTTAAAAAGTTCGGAATTTTGTTAGCTATAACAGGCTGCGCATTTTGTCCAATCAGAATGCGTCTCAAAATTTTCTGATTTAATTTAAATAAAATCGGAGGTATTTAGTTTTTTCGGCTATCCGGGAATGCGGCTCCGTGGGTATGCACCCAAATAGGGACCGACGTTTTTACCAGACCCACCTTTTACCAGAAAAGTTATAACATAGGCCTTTTACCAGACTCGATAAACAAATTTGATTGACAGATGTGATGACGCTGTTTAGTCGGGGGCTTTTCTCATGCGCGAAGGACCGAATGCGCGAAAAAATTTGTGTGCCAAGGACCGAAGACAAAATTAGCCGAAAGTCAATTTTTAAAAACAAACAATTGCCATTCAGTTAAAATGAATTATATGTAGCAATATTTTGATTTTTTTACTACGGAACTCTTGAAATGTAAAATTTGTCCCAATTTTCCGGCGGTGAATGACAATTTGCAAATTTTGCATATTTCTGCCGTTTTATATTCGGCCCATATCAATACTACAGTCCCTGGAAAGGTTGATTTTCTTTCCAAACTTTAGATAACTGAAATCTGGTGAATTGATTTTTATTTTCGCGCATTCGGTCCTTCGCGCATGAAGGATTCCACCGTTTAGTCTGGTTAAGGACAGTGTTTTCACGGTTTTTCGAGGAAGTTTTGTTGTTCTAACTGCTTGTTTTTCGAATCTTCTACTAATTCACACTTGAATAATTGCATTGTGGTCTGGTAAAAGGTTGCTCTGGCAAAAGACTTAGACCCTGTCTAAATGTTATTTCATGATGCCTGAACATTATACATACTCCAAACATTGCATTTTTAGAGACATTTCACCTTGGTTAGGATGAATCACATCTAACCATAATGGTTGTGTGCCCGTGCGCGCAGATTCTAAGACAAACTAACGATTATAAAAACATCCTAGTCATTTTCCGATCCAATCGGTATTGAGACGTGAAAATTTAGAACAGCTTCCAGGACTCGAGCAGTTGTTGCAGATGAGCGAACTAACACATCAAACAGTTCTTGTCGTTGAACCGAATAATCAGAACAAGAAGTAACTGTTGATAACTGAGCCAACTAAATAACGCTGAAACAAATTCTGATTTTCCAGACGAAAACAACCGTAACGCGCAATTATGATTTCTTGCCCCGTTTTTATTGTACCATCAAACTCCCCTCCCCTCTCAAAATCACGCAAACTGAATAGAAGCCACATTAAACCACTTCCCCAAGTGCATGATTTTTAGTGGTATCAAAGAATTCTTCACTTTTACTTGTTTTTATTTTAAGCCACAAGAAAATCATTAAATAATATTCGATTCGAACTGATTTAATATTTCGCAATGATTTCAGTTTTGAAAAAATCCGTCATTCAAACTGACAAGTTTTACATCTGTTTTAAATTCACACTTTTTAATCAAATCTTAAACTGATTTAGCTGAAACTTTTTAACAATAACTTAACACAAAACTTCGAAAAGTTCGTGGAAATAATGCATGCTTATAAAGTAGTTAAAAGGATAATCTAACGTTTGAAAACGTCTGATCGTAAAAATTCCTGGTCTCTGATTACAATACACTTGCTATACAATATTCACAGTAAACTATATTCACAAATACAATATTCACAGTAAACTCCTTAAATTTGTCGCTGCAAGTACTCAAGAGTTGATTTTCTTCTCTTTATCAAGAGTTGATTTTCTTCTCTTTATCAAGAGTTGATTTTCTTCTCTTTATCAACATTCCGTCTATTAACACTCAAACTATCGAAATTAAGAGAATTTGAGCGAAATATGTCTAAGGCAAGATTATGTTTTAAACTACCTAGTGATTATTGTGTTTTGGAGGTCTAGCTAAAAATTCGATTCTTAGATTCAATTATCTGGAAGGTTTGTTTCAATTTTGTAAGCTAAAGAACTGATCGGAAAATTTAGATTGTTGTTTTGATTTGCGAAGAAATATTTATGCGCTTGGGGTCAGAAAAATTTAAACAATCTTGAAACTTTTGTTGCCTGGAGCTCAAAATTAATTGCTAATTTGGCATAAATTATTGGCGATTTATGGCGCTCTTAACACTCGTGTAAGCGGCGAATTAAATCATTCCAGTTTTTTTTTGTTATGATACGGTACGCTAAAAGCAACCTTTTGTACTGCACATCCATTTATCAAATGAAAAAATAACTTTTTCGATCATTTCATGAATGTTTCGTCCTAAAAATTTTAAAGCTGGCATTGAAGTGCAGTATGAACATTCAGGGCTTTGTACTGATATACGAACAGTCGTATTCATTAAAATTCTTCTGCACAAAACAGGTGCAGCTTATTCATGAATTTGAAGTTCACTAGATTCCACTTAACATGAGACATTCAGACCATTCTACGTTTACCAAACCAGTTATTTTAGGCTTCTGGATAAGGCTAGCACTGAAACACTACTTTTGAGTAATTTACACTCACCACAATCGCTCAAAATAGAATATACAGTAACCGGAGATCTAAAGCTCTCCTTGGTAGTATTTTTTACTTGGGAAATTAATACATGAAACTTTGTAAAATGGCGTTTAATATTTCCCGTTTTCCTTTCAGAAACAATTTTCTTTTAGACTTAAATGACGAATTTAAATTATTTCTAAATTCAGAGAAAATATTCAGTTTAGTTTTCCAGTTCATTTCCGGGGGTCAGAATGCCCCGACTCGCGTGAAAAGTCCGTTCGTTGCAGGCACATCTTCTACACTTGAACAGGAGGCATCCTCTTCCGAAGCAGATTCGATCTGCACTTTGTATTCGCCAGCTGTTTCGTCTAACACTTTGCAAAACTTATTTCCTAAACAGAAAAAAAAACAAAATTCAACAATAATAGCCGGCTGCTGTGCAAGTACCACATAACTACAAAATACATATATACTTTCAAGTTAGTGCCGTTTTTTGTACTATACAACTACTACTTAACTATACAAATGCGTATAAGTTAATGAGTTAGAATTAATCGACAACAGTTTTATAATCGACAACAAAACAAAGATTTACAAACAATAAAAAACTTTTCAATACAAAAATGTATAAACACTTTTTCTGAATTTTTTGCACAATATTTTTTAAAGGATTTTTTTAGAATTTTATTTGATCAGCAAGCGCAAAACGAAGCGCCAAAAACAGTTTTATTTTCAGTAAAATGATCTTTACTCAGCCTTATTGACCAGTTTTCATATAACAAATGTTACTCCATCACTCTACTGTTCGAAATTAGTAAGCTTTTTCTCGGCGCTGTGACAACTTTCTGAAATATTTTTAATGTCGTTCTAATCACGACTGGAAGAACTTTAATATGATAGATGACTCAAATTTTTCCGATTCAAATTATGCGTGAAAAAAAACTAAAACACACCCGAAGACAAAATTACTCGATAGGTGAACAGTTACTAATCGAATGTCAAATGTTATCAAAAAAAACCTTAAAGGTGCCCCAAAAGTGTCACCAATATTTGCGACGTAAGGTGGGAAAAACAATAGTCGTACTATGACCCTCGCTTAAGCTCATTAGTGTAAAAACCAGCGTATGGTGTCTGCTTTTTATTGACTTCGCAACGTTTACTGACACTTGCAAAGCCATTTGTGTTATAAATTATTAATTACTTAAAATACGGTCAAACTGTTGAGTATTTGACTTGCATATTCGAGATCCTGATGAATTTGGTGCACTTTGAAAATACCCAGAAAGACAGAGACGAAGAGGAGGTTCCCACCACTTGCGATGCAACAAAACATTACAAAAAATAAGTCGACCAAATGAAATATATATATAATTATACTTTTCGGATCAATTTGTGTCTGCTCAAGGGTTGTTTCCTGTTCTTAAGTCTTGAGGTTTGTTTCGTTGCCTATTTACTATCCAAATTTCTTGGATTTTTGCTTGTTATGAACTTCAAAAAAAAGTGAGAAATTTAAAATTTTGGCAGACGTAGTTTTTTTATATATACATATGAAAAAAAACTACGTCTACCAAAATTTTAAACTTTTAAATTTCTCACTTTTTTGATATGAAGTTCATACCAAGCAAAAATCCCAGAAATTTGGATAGTGAATAGGCAACGAAACAAACCTCAAGACTTAAGAACAGGAAACAACCCTTGAGCAGACACAAATTGATCCGAAAAATATAATTATATAAAAAAAATTTTAAGATTTAAGTCCAACCTGAAACTGCAATGATCAGTTTTTGCAATTGAAAAAACAGAAAAGTTTTTGCTTAAATTAAAAGAAAAATCAGTAATGTAGCAACAAAGCCGACAATTTTTGAGCAGACACTAATTGAGCCGGAAAAAAATTGATTTTATGAAAAAAAAATCTTTCAAGTTCCCCTGATACTAGACTGAACAACCAATGCACTTGCAACTGCAATGAGGGTAGCTTACAGCATAAACTAAATCCGCGATGTGGCAACTTACCCGACAAAACTTGAGCAGAAAAATTCAATTTCACAATTTTTACGATTGCATATGAACTGAAAAAACCAAGGTTCGGCCGAGACGCAAACCCCAGAGCTTGAGATGCAAAGACGACGGCGTTAAACCTAAGCCAATTGGTAAGGAACCTTTAAGATGATTTGGTTCAATTAAAAAAAATATTTGTAAAAAGAACAGGGTAAAGAACAGATAAATTTGAGCCGAAAACAGAACTGTTGTCATAAAATTTTTTTTGAGCTATTGTTTTAAAAGTTTTTACGAAACACATAAAAGCATAAAAAACACATAGTCTTCAAAACATTGCAAAATAATGTGGCTAAGCTAAGCCAACATGAGCCGAAATCATTTAATCCAGAAAAAAATCACAAACTACAGAACTTTCAAACATAGTAAAATCTAATTGAATCAATAAAAACCTATGCCTTGGAAATTAGGCCGAATCAAACGTACAAGATAAAGTAAACTGCAATTTGAAAAAAAAAGAAATTGAGCCGACGGGAAGTTGAACGAAAACCATGATTACGAAAAAAAACAACCTTTTTCATGAATTTTTATTTAAAAAAAAGCTATTACCTGAAACGAACGTCTCCTAATTAATACCTAAAAGATGGTAGTTGATTTCAATTTTCAAGAAGTTGAGCATGCCAGCAGTTGTGAAATTTACCATTACTACTAAAATGAATTTTCTGTGAATAAAGTTATTTACGGGGAAAAAGGCTAGCGATAAAGACTGGCCTTGCTAACCTTTAAGCAAATATTGACACAAAAAAAACTGGAAAAACATTAAAAGCAAAACAATAAAAACTGAGCTAAATACAACTTCAACTAGCAAACTCAATCGCTAGCTGTTTACTGAAAAGCGTAATTTACCAAGTGACTGTTGCTTCTTATAGGTTGCAGGGGTCCATTGGCCCTGTATGGAGGGTATTTCTGTGTGATGCATGCTTGTGAGTTTAAAGTCACGCTGGCCAGATTTAGAGTTGAAAATTTCCACCCAATATTCAACCTAAACACAACAACAGAGGAAATGAACAGCAGCGTGGCATAAAGCATCAAGCAATGAAGACAAGATCGAAGTTAATAAGCCTAACCAACATCTTTAAGACGAAAAAAAAATTGCAATCGTAACCGATTTTCAAAGAAATTTTGTCGACCTTCTTTTTTAGGTTGACCAAATTGATTTTGTGAGCTAAAGACAGAAATTTGACCAAAGATTCTGCGCCGGAGGCAAATTTTTGAAAAAAGGCGTTTATAGGCACTTTTTGGAAAATTTTGACCAAAGAATCGCGTTTTTTCGGCGCGTACTCTCCCCTCAAAATTAGTATAGATTGGCGCCAAAGGCGCCTTTAGAAAAATTTTAAGGTCAATCAGCCAAAAATGGATATCTCAAAATAGTACAAAAGGGGGACCGTTTGGGTCGTCTGGTGGTCGAATCCCTGGGGGGAAGGGGCCGTACGCCCCCCTAAATGCGCTACTGATTATAACTACTGGGTTTCGAAGACGAGAAAAAGCAGATTTCGAATAAGGTCGGAACCATCATTAACACCTGTTAGATTTTAATTCTTGCCTGCTTTAATGTGAAATCGTTCGGGTTGATTTCCAGGTTGTTCCCGTTCAGATATTCTGCTATGATCCTTGATTGAGGCGCGTCAGTGGGCAGAACGTACAGTACCACGTGAGGGTGTTTCTTGCAAAAACGCTCCGACTTTGATTCCAAAAAATCTCTCACTCCTTTGTTATTCACTGAAAAAAAAATAATTGCAAAAGCTGCACAAGGCTAATTAAATTATCCGGACAAAACGAATAATACTTTAAATTTAGAACGCGTTTCTCTCAAACTGGGTAGAATTTAGACGAAAAAAGATGAAGACAAAACTTGCTTAGAATTTTAGCAGGAATGATAGTGCAATTGATATAGCGAAAACCGCGCAAACAAATTTATCCAAAAAAACTATCATTTTTGGCGTTTTTAGTCCATCAAAAACTAAGCCAAAACTATTGGTTTGATTGCTGATAAAAACTATATCAAATGATCTATAAATTAAATCAGAACTGTTTTATAGCATCAAAAACCCCTAAGCAGCGAACTTTTGCAAGATAATATTTTCTGGAAAAGTTATTTCCTCTGTTTTTCAATTGTTTGCAGGAAACTTTTGCAACTCTTTACATTAACACAGAGGCGAATCTGCGCTTCGCAAACACTAGCGAGAACAGGACAAAAATCAGCTCTATAAAGTGCAATAAGAAAAAGCCTCGAATTAGTTTAAGAAATCGGCTAAGTTTCATATTCGATCTGCGACCTTCGGCAAGCTAGAGTATAATAGTCTCACGAACTAACTACGGACGCTTAATTAATCACAAACACTAGCCTCGAAAAAGCAGGGAACAGATAGTATAGTTTATTTAGGAGAGTAATATTATACAGACAGGTAAACAATAAACCGCATGTACAAATCAAACCCACCAAGGATCATGCAAAAAGCTATGCAGCTTATCGAGGCATGACCCTGAAAAAACCTATGACAGAAGTTGCGAGATAGTATCCGACTTGATGATTCAAAAAAATAAATCTAGAAGATCTCCATTATCTTTAAGAAACAATGAAAACAATTTTTTGAAATACCCATTTAGTTGTTGCTCAGTTAATTGGTTTAGGTTGTCTGGTATCAGCTCGTTTGATTTCAAAAAATTATAACATTTAAGAGACACATTTTTCCATGAACGTTGCATTATTTGAGTTCTAGTTTTCATGCTTGGTAAAGTTTTTGCCACAGAGGCCCGAGTAACCCGACGATTATTCAGAGATTCCAAATTAAAAGTTTCAAGGGGAGTTTTACCACGAAGTTGATTAAAAGTTTCTTTGAATATTTGTCTGAAATATAAGTCAAAAACGGTGTCAATCTCAAACGAATGTAGGATATATGAGGCATGCTCAAATTTTCTCTTGAAACAAATAGTTTTAAAAATACGTTTTTGCATCACAAATATTTTTTCTAATAAGCTTTTTGATGTTGCACCAAATGCAATTAAACCGTAGGAAATGAGTGGCTTTGCATAGCAGTTATAAAATTTAACCAGCATATTTTTCGAGAAATAGTTTCTACCCTTGAATAGTAAACCGTTAAATTTAGCTAATTTACCACAAACTTTATTAATATGACATTCAAATTTGAGTCTGTTGTCCATTTGAATTCCTAAACACCTAAAATCAGAAACCTCGGTGAGTACATTATTACCAAAAGAAAATTTTTCATTTAAGTTATCCCGTCCAAACTTCATTATTTTGCACTTCTTTTGATTTATGAGCAGCTTGTTATTATTGCACCATTTACATATTTTATTTAGTTCTGTCTGAAACTTCGTTTTGGATGCAAATTTTTGAGCATCGACTACCGTTGTATCATCTGCAAATAATGTTAGCTTAACGTTGCTGGCCGACGGTATATCATTTATGTATAAAAGGAACAAAAATGGCCCCAAAACTGAACCTTGAGGAACACCTTTTGTACATTCTACCATATTCGAGACGGATTGATTCGAATAAACATATTGTTTTCTCCCTGTAAGATAGTTTGTCATTAACTTGTGTATTTTCCCTCTGAACCCATATTGATAAAGTTTGTCAAGCAAAATTTTCCGATCAACTGTATCAAATGCTTTTTTCAAATCAATAAAGCAGGAGTAACAAAATTTTTTATTATCAATTGATTCACGAAAAAAGTCAGTAATGGACAAAATGGCATGAGTACAGGAATGATTACTTCAAAATCCAAACTGATGCTTATTAATCAAGTTATTTTTAGCGGCAAAACAGATGGTATAAACATCCAATGCTACAGATCGTGATTATAGCAAAAGTACCACCAAATATAGCTTTTAACAAGCTTATCGGACAACGTCTTAAATTTATGAAATAATTCTGATCTTCAAGCTGAAATTAATTAGAAATAATTATTTGAAATTTTTTCGGCGTTTTATGTCCTCATTTCATTGAAAAATTGCATGTCAGAACGCAGCTGAATGATAATTGTTTTGAAATTAAGGGCTTCAATTTATATTTACAAAAAAAACAACTCTCAACAGCGCAATCAATTTGGTTCGCCTTTTGACAGCAATTTTGAAAATTCGGTTGTAATTTCAACTCTATTTCACTGTCCTAAGGTGAAAATTATTCCAGAAATTTAAGACGTCCGATAGTTTTGTTAAAAGCTATAATAAACACTTGGCCACCAAACCATGAAAATTTCATTCGCGAGTGAGGTTAGAAAAAAAAGGTTCGCACTAAAGCTCGCAAGCTCGAGGTGTAATGAGTAGATACACAATCAACAATTATTTCGTAACAGTCTTTTAACATAAAAACTACGACCATTCATCAACGAGGTCAACAGAGAGGGATCGGCCGTTCGGCTAACTGAACCGACCTAACAATAAACAAACCGAGTGGGATTCAAATGGAAACGTTCTGCAAAACCCGATATCCCGATATTCCGCTTTGCAGAAGATATCGTGCCTGTTGCCGATCGGAGAAGACGTCATCCTGAATTCAAAATGTGCTGCATGGATCTCATGTCTTTTTGACTTAGTCTTTCTCAGGGTCGGAGTCAACCAAGCCTCGCCACTTGAAAATACATGCAGTGAAAAGTTATGCGGTGGGAAACTTGGGTCATGCATCTGTGGTTGCCCAATGTTCCGGTGAAGCGCTATTGGACGCTTTCAGTTACGTTTTCAAGTCCAGAGATTGACAAATTCGCCAACGAAGAGCCCAGCATATGTTCAAACAGGTTGACCTATCTCCTCGTCGAGTGAGCAACTAGCCTGCTACAGATCCTAGAGTTGATCCATTTGAATTATTTACCGACATAAGTTGCTTGTTGATTCAAACATTCTTCTGATATCAGTTTCCACATTATCACTTCATCCTTATAGCAGTTTTCTGCTTCAATCTAACGAACTAAGAGAGTGCTGAAAGTTATGGACCAGATCTTCTCTTCTCCAGTACATACTTGCTTTATTTCATGTGCTACTTATCAATTGTGGAAGCCGTATAAGTTAGACAAGGATTTAGAGATGGGGAGCCTTCACGCGGCGGCTCCTGCAGATCCAACGAGGATCTCAAATTCCCCATTGGACAGTGTGGAAACTAGTGAAGTCCATCGACAAGGATTGGTCAATATGGTGCGTCGACTGTCGAAGATGGAACCACAGAAGATGCCTACAGATGACCGTGGAGGATATCAAAGTCCTAGCCAAGTACAGATGGCACTGCGGGTGCAAACAGGCTGTTGCAGAAGCCAGAAGATCACAACCTACTGCACCCCGTCCATCCTGCAGACTCAACACCCTTCTCCAGCGACAAGAAAGAAGGAAGGTCTTCGAGTTGCGCAACTGAACATCGAAGGGTGCAGATCTAAGTCCGTGAGTCTGAACAAGTTCCTAGAAGAGGAGAAAGTAGACATCGCGGTCCTGATTGAAACCAAGCTCCTCGAGAGGACCCCTACTCCAGACGCGAACAGCCGGACAGTGCACAGACTGGAAACCGAGCAGCCACAAGGAGGCGTAGCCATCATGTGTAGACCAGGTTTAGTGAGCAACAGGCTGGACCCTCTGCACCTTCCGGAACGTGGCACTGGAAGCCTTGGGTGTGGAGGTCGAAACCGCACAAGGCAAACTACCGGTGTGGTCTATTTACCGTCCCCCAGCTAGGAGCGGAGCAGATGGGAGGGATGTCGATCTACACCTGGACGCATGGCCCGGAACAAGAGCGTGATCATCTGTGCGGACGTGAACGCACACGGTCTCTGGGATCCCAACACGGAGTAAGACACCTTGGGAGCCAAACTAGATGACTGGCTGGCGGCAAACCAGATGCTCACCCTGAACGACGGCTCGCCGGCGCGCTACAGGGGGAACTCCAAAACCGCCCGACGTGACGATCCTGCACAGCAGTCGGATCCACCTCGCTACCTGGAGGATCTACGACTCGTTGGGATCAGATCATCTTCCTCTAAAGACGCACCTGGAGAAAGTACAGACGACGGAGAAGACGAAGAGCCGCAACTTCAATCTGAAGAAGGCGGACTGGACTCTCTTCCAATGTGAGATGAACGAGGGGCTCGAGAAGTGGGAGTTCAGCGACAGCTCGATAGAACATGAGTACAAGAGGTTCTCGGAGCTGATCCTTAGCGCTGCCAAAGCCTCAGTCCCAACATGCAGCACCAACCGAACGCCGAAGCCGTGGTGGAACGCAGACTGCGCCCAGGCTAGGTTCAGTTACCGTGAGAAGTTCAACCAGTGGAAGCTCTACCCGTCAGACGAGACCACGACTCAGCGGGACCGGGCGAAGAAGAAACTGGACGAAGTAATCCGCGACGGAAAGTCCAAAGCCTGGAAGGAGTACGCTAGCACCCTGGACCCGAGAGTGCCCAGCACGAAGGTATGGTCCACCTTGAAGGGCTTCGATGGCCGCAAAAAGCAGCCCCTCCCCGAAACATCCATCTCAGAGGGCAGCAAATTGGCAAAAACCCACAAGCAGAAATAAGCGAAGCTTGCCGCAGCGACCTACGCTCAGGTCAGCCGCGTCCGGTGGAGAGACAGAAGCAGAAAGAGGCGTACCTGGAAGTGAGGAGGAGACTGGAAGAAGATCCAGACCTGGAAGACGGAACAGGCAGCCCTTTCACTCTGAAGAACTGATAGCCGTGGTTCGCAGCATGAAGAAGAGTGCTGCAGGTCAGGACAAGATCTCGCCGGAGATGATCAAGAATCTCCCAGAGGCCGCTCTGCAAAAGCTCTTGAACATCATCAACAAGAGCTGGTCCCAAGGCCGCATCCCGGGTTCTTGGCGCAATGCCGTCATCGTTCCGCTCCTGAAGAACGGGAAGCCAGCCTCGCAGATCAACAGCTATCGTCCGGTCTCATTGCTTGCCTGCGTGTCGAAGGTGATTGAGAGCATGGTGACGAGGCGCCTGAAGAAGTGGGCAGCGGACATGGGAGCAATCCCGCCCCAGCAGTCTGGTTTCCAGAAAGGCCGGATGACACTGGACGTGATAGCCAACATCACCCAAAAGGCTTTTGACAGCCTCCAGAGACGTGAGAGAACCGTAGTCGTTGCTTTTGACAGGGTTTGGAAGTTCGGGCTATTCCGCGATCTTGCAAGGAGGAAGCTCCATCCGGTCGCTCTTCGGTGGCTCAAAGCCTACCTGTCGGACAGACGCGCCGCCGTTCGTTGGGGCTCTACAAGGGAGCCCTCTCCCCCCTGCTTTTCTGCTTGGCGACAGCGACCCTGCCGACCAGTGTGCTGGGCGGCCCCGGGCGTGTTCGCTGACCAGTACGCTGATGACTTTACGATGTCTGCGTCCGCTAGAACCGTACCGGAAGCAGCCGACCTGCTCAGGCCAGCCCTCCAAGAAGTGGAGTCGTGGGCGAGCGACTATGAGGTCCTGCTCTCGACAGAGAAGACTTCCGCCCTCGTCGTCAGCCTGGACCCAAGGGAGACAGCAGGTAAAGCATACCCTGCCCTCTACCTGCTCGGCGACCGAGTCGGCACCACAAAAGGAGTGAAGATCCTGGGGGTTACTCTGGACTCGCAATTGTCATCTACGCCATCGACATCTGGGGACCGTTCCTGGCTTAATCCAACCTCCAACCCATCGAGGTAGCCAACAACCGGGCGAGCCAAGTTATCACCGGTACTCCGACAGGCACTCCGGCCTCGGCCTCCCTGAGACGCTCGCCTCGGACCAATTTACCAAGAGATCGAAGATCGTGCGGCGCTGCTGTGGGACAGATACAGAAGGTGCCCAGAAGCACACCACCTACACGACCTGACGACACCAGGACCCAGACCAAGACTCAGATCAAGAGGAGAACAATCCTTCCGACAAGACTGGCGCTCGGTGGCCAGAAGACGTCTTGACCTGATCTCAGAAGGAGGAAACGTCTTTGAGCACCTTGTCGCACAGCGCGAAGACAGACAGCTCCAAGACTACAACCAGAACGCCCCAGAGTCCTCAGCTCACCTCAGAAACAAAAACACTGAACTGGTACAGACCTATCAATAAAAAAGAAAAATACCTTGACCAGCATTTCTGATCAACTCTCAATAAAGACAAAATCAGTTCTTGATGTCTGGTTGGTATATAGGCACCACGCAGCGTTTGTACTCGGTTATTTCTGTGTTCGAAGTCGGACTTGCAATATTTAGTTACAGCTCCTGTCTGACAAAAAAAGAAGCCCAGTTCTCCGAGGAGTTTCGTTGACACTCCTAAAAAAGCGGCGAATCAAAGTCTGAAGACAACAACAATGCTGCTCATGAACTCCGACAAGTTAATTATGACGATGGTGCTCAAGATGGGGATGTTTGGAGTCGCTCAGACGTGAACAAGGACCACAGGGATGAAGATCTCTGGCTACAGCTACGGGAACCAAACTCAATATTGGATGAGCTCGACTGAGGTGTTAGGTGTTTTTCTGTTGATGCAATCAAAATTGTCACGTAAAAACTGTATTTTTTTGAACAGTTGCAATTTCACCCTTTTCTTTCTCTTTTACCGAATGGCTATGCTGCGTTCTAGGTCCACTACATGGTTCTCTATATCAATTCATTCAGGCGATGACTCGAAACTTATGGAGAAGAACAGGCGAAAAAAATCAGATACATGTTTACATTTCAATCGCTGTCTTCCTGTAAAAAAATCTTTGTCACATTTGTAGTCATGAAGTGGCCAAAATCAGCGAATCAGCACATGAAATGATTGATAACCCCATCATGCAAGCCACCTCCTTGCCAAAAGAACACTACAAAGTTGTCATTCCTGCGGCCCTCACAGAGGAACAGTGCCTCGTACCGGCATCAGAAACGGTTTTGATGAACAAATGCCAAATAATAGAAGCAAAGTTGAGAAAAAGCAATTCCAGAAACAAATCTGTCACTTGTAACTTCTGTTCTGATGAAAGTGATCCCTTGAAAAGGAACAGAAGTGGCAAAATGGGACATATGGCTAAGACGTGACTCGTATATAAACCGTGGACTCAATCCGGCGTCTACTGCAGACAATAGGTCTGAGTGTCGTTACGAAATAAATACAAAACTGGGCTGGAAAAGACTACACGGATAGTTGTGCGAGCGAGATTCAACCAAATGGTTCAGATGACCGTTGTTGGGTATGAATTTGAACTGTTCAGGAGGACTTCTACTTAAAAAGTTGCAACCGGAAGTTACGTTCCGATTCAAAGGAAAGTTCACAGGAAAAAGCTTGGCAGACAAATACCATCTCGATGAAAACATAGTTGAACGTTTTTATCAACGAAGGCACTGACTGCATTGAACTCCACATTTTTCCAAGAAAAAAGTGTAGAGTCAATTACATGAGAATATTACTGTCGGGAGCTTCTCATATGAAAGAGGCTCAGCATTATTTGAGGCATTAAGAGGAACAAGTGCAACTGGCACATGGAAATTGTAGCGACAAGCTTAAAAACGTTATAGTATGGATTGGTATATTTGCAAGTAATTTCGCTCACATATAAAAAAAAATTAAATGGACCGAAAATGTTTGCTTTTAGAGAGAACCCAAGTGGCCAAAGAAACTTCTTATATTATAACTTAGAGATCAACTGGAAACTGAGTCTAATTACATTGCGCTGGAGAGCCATGATTACCGGATCGGCAACTGCCGTCTTGCTCTGTGTTCATTAAATGTAATTCCCACAAGAATTTCACTGATTTGCGAAATGCCTCAATAGTACAAATTTTCATACGTTAATTAGAGATAGAATTTTCAGGTATCATCACAAATTCGATACATAAGTAACTTTCCACAATTTCAATTATTACAATTTCATGTGTTTAACTTTTTCAGAGCCGAACCAAAAATCAACTAACCGAACCAACCTGACATTTAAAATTCATGATTTGCCGACTACTAGTGAGACAAAAGACAAACATATGAGCTTCACATCAACAGCCCTTCTGTTCCATCCCTTAATTCTCCGAGCACATTTAGACATTTCAAAAAATAACAGGAAAGTGTGATGACATTGCAACTAACTTCTGGTTTTGGAGAACTGGAAAGTAAGTCTTTGAAGTTGCGGGAGGTACCTCCCAACCCCTTGATTCAGAACAGTCTTCAAATGTCGAAGTGGAATAGTTCGATCCATCTAACTTCTGAAATTGGCCTCTATATAATTTCAGAGACAATCACATGTCCGAATAAGAAATTCAAGTAAAAAAACCAATTAACGTATTTGATTTTTCATTTCGAGATAATTAGAAGCAGCAGTTAATTCTTTTTACTTGATCGAAAACAGTCTGTGGTTCAATTATCTCTAATAAAAACTCACATTTCAACATTGTATTCCAATTTACTCAAATCGAACTCAAAACATTGATGACTAATAACAAACAACACTATGTACACTATTTACAAATCTCCAAATGAAATTGCAAGATTGCAGTGGATAAATAAGGCTTCGAGATTTAAGGCACTTCATTTTGTGGCGAAATTGCCTTCACAGGTTGCAAGGTGGGCGGCCTATCAGCATGTGCGTCGATTAGCATGTCCAATAACATCATGCTAATGAGCACACATGCTAAGCTGTCAGTTGACATGATTACTCCAAGTTGGTGCCATTTGTTTCACGCTTTCTTCAGATCATCTTCCAGCCCGTATATTTTGGCCTTGAGAGCATGCAAGTCCTCCATAATATGCTTCGTTCTCTTTCCCGTCTTCTTAACATCACTCAACAGCTCCAGGTCTTTGTCTTCTCTGATGAGTGGCTCGGCGAAACTGAGAGTGACCTTGTAGAGATGTCGCTCGACCTCCTTCAGCCTCGTTCGGAGGATGCGGATGTCGTTCTTGAATCCCTCCACTTCCAGGTTCCTCCTCTGCTCTAACTGCTCGTACCTCTGATTCATCAACTGCAATCGCTTCGCCATTTTCTCAGTTCTCTCCTGAACAAAATTCAAGTTTCATTGAACTGGAATAAAGATGTTTTTTCTGTTATAGTTGAGAAAACAACTTAGTGCAAGTGTATCAAATCCGACTGTATCATACAAAATCAAAGGCTAGTTGCTTTTATGTATTTCAGGCGGCTCCAGACGCTACAGAGGTCAATTCTCATTGACAGCCAGGTTGCCACTCATCTCTTTGCATAAACTTTATTTAGACTCACTGAAAACCTGTCTCATTTCAATAGCAGAAATATCAAATGTCAACCTACTCGGAAACACCAAATATACCAAACAGATTCTTTAAAACAGCCAATGTCACCAGAACATATTGATTAAAACTATTGATCCATTCGGGAATACAATCTGTTCGGCTTTTTAGGGAGAACCGCTGTTGTGTCTCTGCTTCAAAATTACATGCTAATTTTGTGGTTCATGCGAAAATTACTGGGCTGTGTAATAAAGCATCAACCTTAAGCATCGACCACGGATCGTGTTGAAAAACTATTAACAGAGGCAAAGCTGCGTTTCGCAAACACAAGTGAGGAAAATGCACCTTTAAAAATCGTTGAGACTAGGAGTAGCACGTTCTCACATCTGTTCCACGACCGCTTGTAATTTTACCAACACTAGCCACCAATAAAGCAGCTACAACTTCTATCAAACTGCCTGTTATGCAGAGAAAATTCGGCCAAAAAACGACCCGTTTTACTCAGCTTAAGTAGCGATTCACCACTTATTTAAAGGAAAAAATTACTACTTGCTCTTTCAATTGAAGTCTTCATCTCCTCAGATTTGGCTGGGTAGATTTCGAAAGAAAAACAAGATTCCAAAATACGATTTAAAAAATCAGAAATTTGACTTTTTCAAAATCCATTAAATTTTCTTTACTAAAGCATGGGAATGGCATCAGCTCTCCACAATCTGACTTTTAGATTAAAGATTTTCGCACCCGATTTTTAAGATTGAACCCTTAAAATTATATTTAGCTAGCAGTTTTCGGGAATTGTGACAAAAATTCTTAAAAAAAAGTAAAAAAGGAATTTTCCGAAGTGCATATCAGTTTTTCTACAAAAATAGGGAAAAACAGATTACGCAGAGAAAATCTGAGCACCATATTAGTTTTAGTGAACTATCAACCTCAGATTCAGCAGACCATATTTTTGACATTTTCTAAGGCCATATTTTTCAAAGAAAACGCAGGGCATAGCCGCTTGTGCAGGTAGGGTTTACAAAACTGATTTTTTCTTTCGGTCAAACTTTTAATCTCCAAGTTGGCAGGCTATTTTTGAGGAAAAATTTTTTTGACAGTGTTTAATTTTTTAAACTTTTTTCTCAAAAAGCACTCTGCCAAATCGGAGATTAAAAGTGGGCTTAATTGCGGCAATAATTTTGCTTCTGCCAAAATTAGAGAAGAGCCATTTGAAAATGAGAGATCCCCATAGTTTGTTCTTTTGATTGAAACCTTTATCTCGCAGATTTATGCATTATGCATAGACTCACTAAAAACCTCTGTCTCAATTCAATAGCAGAAATATCAAATGTCAACTTACTCGGAAACACCAAATATACCAAACAGATTCTTTAAAACAGCCAATGTCACCAAAACATATTGATTAAAACTATTGATCCATTCGGGAATACAATCTGTTCGGCTTTTTAGGGAGAACCGCTGTTGTGTCTCTGCTTCAAAATTACAAGCTAATTTTGTGGTTCATGCGAATATTACTGGGCTGTGTAAAAATGCATCAACCTTAAGCATCGGCCACGGATCGTTTTGAGAAATTATTAACAGAGGCGAAGCTGCGTTTCGCAAATACAAGTGAGGAAAATGCAAAAAAGCTTTACGCATGCAAAACAAAGTGAAATAAGGAAAAGATTAAAAATGCACCTTTAAAAAATCTTTGAGACTAGGAGTAGCACGTTCTCACATCTGTTCCACGACCGCTTGTAATTTTACCAACACTAGCCACCAATAAAGCAGCTACAACTTCTATCAAACTGCCTGTTATGCAGGGAAAATTCGGCCAAAAAACTACCCGTTTTACTCAGCTTAAGTAGCGATTCACCACTTATTTAAAGGAAAAAATTACTACTTGCTCTTTCAATTGAAGTCTTCATCTCCTCAGATTTGGCTGGGTAGATTTCGAAAGAAAAACAAGATTCCAAAAAAAAACTATTTAAAAAATCAGAAATTTGACTTTTTCAAAATCCATTAATATTTCTTTATTAAAGCATGGGAATGGCATCAGCTCTCCACAATCTGACTTTTAGATTAAAGATTTTCGCACCCGATTTTTAAGATTGAACCCTTAAAATTATATTTAGCTAGCAGTTTTCGGGAATTGTGACAAAAATTCTAAAAAAAAGTAAAAAAGGAATTTTCCGAAGTGCATATCAGCTTTTCTACAAAAATAAGGAAAAACAGATTACGCAGAGACAATCTGAGCACCATATTAGTTTTTGTGAACTATCAACCTCAGATTCAGCAGACCATATTTTTGACATTTTCTAAGGCCATATTTTTCAAAGAAAACGCAGGGCATAGCCGCTTGTGCAGGTAGGGTTTACAAAACTGATTTTTTCTTTCGGTCAAACTTTTAATCTCCAAGTTGGCAGGCTATTTTTGAGGAAAAATTTTTTTGACAGTGTTTAATTTTTTAAACTTTTTTCTCAAAAAGCACTCTGCCAAATCGGAGATTAAAAGTGGGCTTAATTGCGGCAATAATTTTGCTTCTGCCAAAATTAGAGAAGAGCCATTTGAAAATGAGAGATCCCCATAGTTTGTTCTTTTGATTGAAACCTTTATCTCGCAGATTTATGCATTATGCATAGACTCACTAAAAACCTCTGTCTCATTTCAATAGCAGATATATCAAATGTCAACTTACTCGGAAACACCAAATATACCAAACAGATTCTTTAAAACAGCCAATGTCACCATAACATATTGATTAAAACTATTGATCCATTCGGGAATACAATCTGTTCGGCTTTTTAGGGAGAACCGCTGTTGTGTCTCTGCTTCAAAATTACATGATAATTTTGTGGTTCATGCGAAAATTACTGGGCTGTGTAATAATGCATCAACCTTAAGCATCGACCACGGATCGTTTTGAAAAATTATTAACAGAGGCGAAGCTGCGTTTCGCAAACACAAGTGAGGAAAATGCACCTTTAAAAATCGTTGAGACTAGGAGTAGCACGTTCTCACATCTGTTCCACGACCGCTTGTAATTTTACCAACACTAGCCACCAATAAAGCAGCTACAACTTCTATCAAACTGCCTGTTATGCAGGGAAAATTCGGCCAAAAAACTACCCATTTTACTCAGCTTAAGTAGCGATTCACCACTTATTTAAAGGAAAAAATTACTACTTGCTCTTTCAATTGAAGTCTTCATCTCCTCAGATTTGGCTGGGTAGATTTCGAAAGAAAAACAAGATTCCAAAATACGATTAAAAAAATCAGAAATTTGACTTTTTCAAAATCCATTAAATTTTCTCTACTAAAGCATGGGAATGGCATCAGCTCTCCACAATCTGACTTTTAGATTAAAGATTTTCGCACCCGATTTTTAAGATTGAACCCTTAAAATTATATTTAGCTAGCAGTTTTCCGGAATTGTGACAAAATTTCTAAAAAAAAGTAAAAAAGGAATTTTCCGAAGTGCATATCAGCTTTTCTACAAAAATAGGGAAAAACAGATTACGCAGAGAAAATCTGAGCACCATATTAGTTTTAGTGAACTATCAACCTCAGATTCAGCAGACCATATTTTTGACATTTTCTAAGGCCATATTTTTTTAAGAAAACGCAAGGCATAGCCGCTTGTGCAGGTAGGGTTTACAAAACTGATTTTTTCTTTCGGTCAAACTTTTAATCTCCAAGTTGGCAGGGTATTTTTGAGGAAAAATTTTTTTGACATTGTTTAATTTTTTTAAACTTTTTTCTCAAAAAGCACTCTGCCAAATCGGAGATTAAAAGTGGGCTTAATTGCGGCCATAATTTTGCTTCTGCCAAAATTAGAGAAGAGCCATTTGAAAATGAGAGATCCCCATAGTTTGTTCTTTTGATTGAAACCTTTATCTCGCAGATTTATGCATTTAATATTTGAGAAAAAGAAATCAACATAAATCGGCGAAAAATCCCCCTACTGAAATTTTCGAAGGCCGTAGAACGTAAGGTGAAATGAAAGAGACTTGCGAAATATACAGGCACAGAGAAGTGCAGCAGATTTTTCCATTAGTACAATTTTTGGAAAATTGGTCAGGACTTTTGAGAAAAATTGAAATTTCTGCGAAGAAAAACAACAAATCCCATAAATTTTCATAATACATGTTTTTCAAACAGGACCTAACACTAGTCAAAAATAAAGCAGCAAAATATGCCAATAAGTTGTTATGCTTAAATAAGCTAAAATATGATCAAATTTAAATATACCAAAAATTCCACCAAATGTGCTGTTTTATTTGCACTTAGTTTGGAAAAAAATCTTCGTAATAATACACGGTTTTCTTGTGTAATCATCATCAAGACCAGTATTGTTACACAGAGGCGAAACTCTAACTGCCGCACAAACAGGCCAAAACAAAGCGCTAAATTATTCGAAAAATTACACACAACACTTGCTTTCGCAAGTGTAAAAAACAAGCATTGCCAAAGAAAACATGAGAAAAAGCGGACGTTGCGTCAAAAAAGCTAGAGTTACCCTAAACAGTTCCTTTCCGATGTCTCCCTCCTCCCTCACTCTGCCCATTTCATCCTCCAGCTGGATGATCTGTTCCCTGTACATGTCCGACAGCTTCTGGCTCTGTTCCAGCTGTGTCTGCAGACTGGCTATTGTGTCCTTCTGACTTACACTCTTCACCTCCAGGTCATGGATGGACTCACTTAACCTCTCCACCTATACACACATTAAAATACATCAATAAGAAGGATACATCAAACTGATCCAACTTCTCTGTATAAAGCACATGGCCGAGATTGAAAAGCCTTGATGAATGCAGGGACTGGTTTTTTTTCAAATTTCAAGTTTCATAGAGAAAACTACATCATCAAAAAGCGTTTTGAATTTCGAAAAACTTTAATGATTAACAATTTCAGCCCTCTTAAATTGAGTGTTTCATTTCGCCCGACAATCCTTACGGGACTTTTTTTGAGATATTAGGGGGCGAACTCTGCGAGGAACGAAATTTGTGAGACCCTTCAACTATGGATCAGCATATTTTCGAAAAAAAGGATGCAAGAAAATTGAAAATTTTCTTTTTGCTTGCACGCGATTTTTTTCTTCCAAAACTCTGATTAAATAAAAACTGTTTCTGTTCGGAATCGGACACTGATTAGAGTATGAAAGGAGTATTCACTTTTCTGTGCTGCGATGTGGCCAGTTTGTCCTTGAGCTGGTCTAACTCCCTCAACAGTCTGTCCTTCTCGTGGATCCACTTCGTCTCCGCCTGTCTCGTCGCCATCTTTGTGTCCAGGTGTTCCTTCGTAGCCGCATGCAGTAGCTCCTGCACTCTCCTCAACTGTTCCGACAACTCCCCATTTCTGGCTGTCTCTCGCTTCTGGATCGCCTCGTGCTCCTCCTGGCGCACCTACAATTCCAATTTACTCCTAGGCCCACAAGCAACAAAACAAATCCAATTTAAAAAGACTGAAACGAGCCCCGAATGGAAAAATAAAGGAGCAATAATTGAACGTCTTCGTCAGTTTGTAGCGAACAACCAATTTGATGATCAGTCAGTAGCTTCACATCTCATTTTCAGCTTTGAGTTGTACCTAAAATTTACCCGATTTTTGGGAAAACTCAACACTTGCAAAAGCAATAATAAATCTTTTCGATTATTATTTGGTTTGGTTGAAGACAACATGGGATTAAAATCATTATTTATTCTTCCTATCAATCAAGCTGTTTTGGAAATTTGATTCTTCAATTTTTCACCAAATACTCACTTTTAAAAACAAATACTTACTGGTGGTTTTATCGTCTCGGTGTTCACTTGGTTTCATTTCATTCTTTCTTTTCTTGTAATTAAAATAAACTCTATTCAACTCACTTTTCGGTCCTCCAGCAGAGCACTGACTTGATCCTTTGCAAGTTTCACCTGGTCTTCCATCTGTGCCTGCAAAGCTTCGATTTGCAACTTCAACATCTCAACATCCTCTGACTTCCTCTCCATCTCAGCCGAGACAGCCACTGCCTTCTTAGACTTCCCTGAGCTGGGCTTGGATGACATTCTGGATGACTTCTGTTGGATGGTGAATTTCGATGGGAAGTTCACACTTGAATCTGATGTAGTATTCAGAGAACTATTTCCTGCATTCTGCGTGAACAAAAACAAACCTTGATCATTCTATCCCACAAGTTGGACATGTAAAGAAGTTGAACTATAAGGTCCTGGGAGCCAAAAAAAATCAACGTAGATAACGAATAATTAGCGAGACGGGTGGTATACAAGTTTCCGTTCTTTAGCAGATGATTCTCAGGCTAGTTCGGAGCCATTTGAAATCTGAACTTACCTTTCCTGTCTTACTAGATGCTACTCTTCTTAAGGATATATCGTCTCCATTACCCCCCATCTCAGACCGAAAAGAATCATTGCAGAAACTGTTTTGAGGCCGTTTATATTGTGGAATGATGACTTTGGCAGGGGGTTCTTTGTGGAAGTAGGTGACGTCACCGCCTCCTCCTTCGGTGCCTGTGAGTGACAAGAGATGCTGAATTTTCTTTCGATCTTCCAACTCACGCAGTTTCAGTCGATCATTTTCGGCATAAAGTCGCAGTACCTAAACACAAACACCACTGACTGATTTAACAGGTCTTTTGGGTTATATAGCAATCTTTAAAGAGTAAATTTGAATTTCGAGTAAAACAAACGAATAAGATGTGCCAAAAATATTCTACTAACAAATTAATTACAATAAACCTTTGAGTCAGCATCCAACTAAAGCAAGTATAACAGAAACGACCCATTCAGCTGCGAAAAAAATTATTACGATTACAGAGTGCTCTCTGAGGAAAAAATCTGAATTGCGGGCCTTGAAAAGATTGCATGACTTTTGGTCTTGGAGAAAGTAAATAAGACGTCCATGTGAAACATGCATTTGAAAAAGGTTCAATAATAATTAAAATTCAGAAGGCAAAAAAATCAACACGAGTGTGAACTTATTTCAAAATTTTACCCTCACAAACAAGCGACCTTAAAAAGTGAAAACTCACTTCATTTATTAACACTTAAAAGCTCACAGAGTAAGTTCGAATCAAAATTAGAACGAGAGCAACATTTGTTAAGGCTGCTCAACACGACACAACCATAGCAAGGCCAGCTAGCCGACAGAAAATGAGAGGAGAGTCGAAAAAGTTAATTTAAAAAATTGTCTGAAAACACCACGTATAGTTTTGTCTTCAGTAAAGTTGAATAAGCTCAAAACATGTCAAAAAAGATAATTTCCAGCGTTAACTAGTAATTAAACAAACATTCCCAAATAATAACCAAGCCAACAATACTTGGGTAGACGACAATTGACTCGAAATAAAATGGTTGCTATAAAATTTTTTGAGCTATTGAGTTTTTCAAATCCAAGTTTTTAACAACTTGATTAGCCGAATTCAACCTTACAAAGGAAAAAAATCAAATTTAAAAACCAAAAATTATCAATATTTGGGAACGTAATATTAACAAAAAATTACGAAATGGGTAGTATAAAGAAAACTGTAAGCATTATTTTGATGATGAAACAAACTAGTCTTGCGAATCACACGAAACAAAACGAGGACAAAGAAAGCAAGACTGCTCGTATCAGGGCGAAGCCCTGAATGTTCCGACTGCCTTTTAAGGTTTATGGAGCAGTAATAACCTAAAAAAATTTGATGTTAAAAAATAAAATTACTTTTTTTTTCTAAAATTTGAATTTTTTAAATGAAAATCATCCCCCCACACGCCAAATAAAGTACAAAAGGAAAAATTTCGCTCCTTGTAACAAATCAATTATGGCAAATAAGCTTCTTTCAACCAATTTGGAACGATTTCTAAGACGGATTAAATCTCCGCTTACACGTTAATAGCGCTAAATATATTGCGCGTTAATTGTCCCAAATTGGCCAAAATGGCAACCTTTAAACCCCCATAACTTTACGAAAAATGATCACAGGTGAAATATCTTTTCAAATTTAAGCTCAGGACAACAATACCTTTCGAATGATATAAAAAAATTCAGTCAAAAGTGGCTAGTTAAAAAGTCGAAATTTGTCTGAAGAAAAAAAAACCCACCCCGAGCAATAATATTCCGTTACTTTCGTATCGAAAGTCGGAACAATAATTATGATTGAAAGTAAACGAAAAGCAAATCAAAAAATGAAAAACTTCGAAAAACCAAGTTTTTGTCAAGAAAAACATTATATTGCGAAAAAACTGGCCTGAACCGTATTATCTGCCGCATCAGAAAAAAGATTTGCGAATGACAGACAAAGCCGAGCTTTCGAAAAAAAACATCTTTGAAGCCGACAAAAATAAGCAGACGGCGATAGTCTAAAATAGCCGAAGTTTTTCAGTTTGCAAAAAAAACAGGCCCCGACTGCAATCGAACTCTCGCGCTTTGCCGTCTCGAGTGAGTGTGATACCACTGCGTTATACTGCGCAGAACATTAGCCGGATAAACCATTTCAGCAAAAACTATACAGAATCGGAAAAGCTATAATTAAAAATTAAAAAACGAAATCGAAATGACTTTCATTGTGTTAGAGATCGATTAAGCAGAAAAAAGTCTACGCGGTCGAAAAAAATAAAGCTTTTTCCGAGAAAATTTCAGCTTGCTAAAATTACAGTCCTGACCGTCGTCGAACAACGGACCTTTGTCGTCGTAGACTTGTGGAGTATCTTCACCAAATGAACAAAACTAGTAATTCTATATACTATTAAGTAAGCTAATGAATTCTGTGATCGGAACTGCTAGTGAGCAAATCGATTGATCGTCCGCAAATGTTCCATCTCAAATAAGCAGCGCGCACATGTTGAGCACCAAGGAAGTGTGCATAATTCACTCCAGAAAACTAATAAATTGCCAACTTTCAAACCTCAAAATTCACAAACTGATTGCAGGTTAAAAATCATTTATGACAATATAAAGTCAAAAGTGCTGATAAAAGTTGCACCATACTACGCTATGCTCGTGTAAAAAACTTTTCAAAAAAAACCAAAATATTATACAAAGAAAGTTTTCAGCCAAACAAGACTGCTCGTATCAGGGCGAAGCCCTGAATGTTCCGACTGCCTTTTAAGGTTCATGGAGCAGTAATAACCTAAAAAAATTAAATGTAAAAAAATAAAATGACTTTTTTTTCAAAAATTTGAATTTTTTAAATGAAAATCATCCCCCCACACGCCATATAAAGTACAAAAGGAAAGATTTCGCTCCTTGTAACAAATCAATTATGGCAAATAAGCTTCTTTCAACCAATTTGGCACGATTTCTAAGACGGATTAAATCTCCGCTTACACGTTAATAGCGCGAAATATATTGCGCATTAGTTGTCCCAAATTGGCCAAAATGGCAACCTTTAAACCCTCATAACTTTAGGAAAAATGATCACAGGTGAAATATTTTTTCAAATTTGAGCTCAGGACAACAACACCTTTCGAATGATGTTTTAAAATTCCGTCAAAAATGGCTAGTTAAAAAGTCGAAATTTGTCTGAAGAAAAAAAAGCCCACCCCGAGCACAAATATTCCGTTTCTTTCGTATCGAAAGTCGGAACAATAACGCGAACAAATAACAAACTGATCTGAAATTACATCAAATCGCAGTTGGATAAATTACAACTAGCGTAAAACTAATTTCAAATAGAACGGGTATTTTAAATACACACATTCTCGAAATATGTCTTTTGCTGTTTATATCAGTGTTGACTCATGTTGAGTAATTCTTTTAGGCAAGTTGCTGACTTGAAACAAGGACAGCCACTTACTGTGCCAGTTGCAGCTCCCTCTTTTTTTCAAACAAGGTCTTAAAGCTATAACTAAAGCCTAGTCGATGGGCATAGTAACTTAGGCATATTTCACTTAGTTTTCTTCGAAACTTGAATAGGTGAATACAAAATTTTTCAAAACTATCAAACTCTTTGAGTGTTTTTTCATTTTCCATAAACTTTTTACTCTAAGAAATCGCTTTAAAAATTTTCAAAAGCTCTGAAATTTAATTGGACTGGAGTAAAAAACAAGTTTTCGCGGCCTGAACAAAAATTATCATTATAAGCCTGCTCTCTCGCTTTAACCGCTCGAAATTAGACTTCCCTTAAATTCATTAGATTTCCGATTTGATAACACTTGGGCATCACAAGCGCAATAGAGCCATGGGGGTCAATATCTACAAAAGTGTTAGTTTTCACCTGTTCGCGTTCCTGAAATAGGTAAACTTGCATATCACTCAAAGACTTCTGAAGCTGTACAATTTCTTCTTCGCGCTGTCTAATCTCACAGTTTAGTTTCTCCTGGTCTTCAAATCCGGCTTTGAAAGTGTCTAGTTTACCAGCAAGTTTCTCAAATTCATTGTCATATTGGGAAATTTTCATCCGGTAATAGTCCAACAAATCTTTGCTGGGTCGCAAATTTGCCAAACGAGTGTTGACAGACGGATAAATTGTGAGATTCGCTTCATCTTCAAGCTCTTCTGGTATTGTTTCCTCATTTGATAGCAGGGTCTCTTGTAGAGACGGTGCAGCCATCGCAGAACTAAAAAAAAAGCTACTACAATATAATTAGCTTTTTAACTTTTAACTAGTTCAACCCTCACATCATTCTCAAAAACCAAACACAACGCTTAAAAGTATCAAGAAAGCGTAAAAACCCTGAAGTACTATCAACGAAAACTTGAAGAAGAACAAACCAGCTTTGTTCACTTAATTTTTGCATTTGCTGGAGGACCAGCACCAGGTTCTACAAAAACAATCAAGAAACTGCAGAAAAACCAATCGAAAACAAAATGATTCATACTGCGACACAATAAAATTGATAAGAACAGAAACAAGCTTTGCAATCTCGAGGAGCCGAAGTCAATGCATCCGGGGTGTAAGAAACTGAAAAACAAAAATAGACAAGAAAATAGTAATATTGCGACCATCGCGGATATTAAACTTTAATTTACATTACTACAGATGTTATAAAAAAGAGTATGAAAAACTGTAAGCTAATCGCTGATGTATTTATAAAGCGGTGGTATGACTCTGTTCAACCTGAGCATGGACTTTCGTATGACGAAGGCCCCCTTATAAATTTAAACCAGTTCAGAAAATTGAATCCAAATTTTGAAAGACAGTACTTACTGAAAAATTATTTGCTGACGACTCAACAAAACTTGGCTGCAAAAATGAGCCATCAACGGCGAGAAAAATTGTCAAAAACGTCCTGGAAAGATATGAGGAAAAATACCATGACGGAAAGAAAAAGGAAACAGAATTCTGGATTGGTAAGATTTCTGGATTGGATGCTGGGCACTTTCATTGGCAAGAAAAAAGACCGAGAGGCGCGAGTGAAGAAAGGTTTCTTTGCATGGAGTAAAGTAAAGAAGTGTTTCTGCACCTCAAAGCTAAGCAAGAGGACAGTTGATAGTGCAGAGAATAGTAGAAGCCACAATAAAACTTGACACGAACACCAGAAAATGGTTGGTCAGTAAGTGAGACTAACAAACTACAGTCAAGTGGTACCGGCACATCTGGAAAACTACGGGAAAGGGTTAACGCTTAAAAGAATGTAGAAAGAAACATGAACGACATACGGTGCCAACTGGAAATTACTTCCATTAGGGCAAAAAGCGAGAAGAGAGCCCTGGAGCGCCTAAGATATATCCTTAGACTCTCGAACAACCACTATGTCAAGAAAGTTGTACTAGGCCAATGCCACGAAACACCGAAAGCAAGAAGAGCCAACAGGGGTGTGGTACAGTACTGGAATAAAATTGGTGAGAAGCGGGTAATAGGTTGGACTAACCTAGAAAACGCGACATGAAATAGAAAATCATGGAAAGCTGAAGAAAAGAGAACCATAAAAGTCATTGAAGAATGGGAGAACGCAATGTGCTTATGGAGGAGAGGGAAAAACCAATAAGAACGCAGACAATGCCGAGAGAAACAATCAGCTACATCTGTAGATGGGATGAATGTGACATAAAATGCAAAACAGCGGCGGGCAGATTACAACGTGAGCGTAGAATGCATCGAGCGAATAATTCAGAGAACTGGTATGCATAGGAGTCTTGCGACAGAATGTTCGAGAAAAAGAGTGCCCTTACGAACCATGAACAGAAATGCAAGAAAGATGGAGGAGCGATGAAGATTTAAGGAAGGATTGATTGTCAGATTTGCAGGAAGAATATCACGAAAACGAACCTGGCGAGACACCAAAAGGGGAGAGCATGTAAGCCTCACCAGGGCGTGTAACTCTGGAACGACACAACAATTTGTTTATAAGCCCCGACTCCGAGGCTCCGATGGCGCGTAACCGTAAGAAGAAATAGAAGATCCAGTTCAGAAAATCGAATCGAAATTTAACTTTTTCCTCTCTCAGTGCTTTTAGTTTCTCCCTACAAAAATGACTCTGCAACACAAAATACGAAAAATTCGAGAAAATTTCAAGAAAAGAATTACATATACAAGTCAAAATATCTCAAATAAAAGGACTTATCTGGTGGTCTTAACGTGCCAGTTTTTGTAAATTTTCCAGCGGATTGAACTCTTTCTGGAATACATTTTCAGAAGAATTAACTGGTAGTGCGATGTGAAACGTTCTCAGCTTTGAGTTGAAAATTTTTCAAAACGAACTCTTTGATAAGTTTTTCAAAACAATCAGCTCAAAAGGTAAAATCGGAATGCCATCTTCAAAAAAAAATAGAATATATTCAAGAAACGAGAAATTAAATAACTTGTAGTTCCGCAAAGAAATTGGTAATACTACTACTTGTGCCATTCCGCCGGATTGGCACAGTCGAACACTCCGACGAGAACAAAAGGGACGTTAATGACGTTAAAAACGAACTGGTGATGAAAACGAGGGTCAGAATATTCTGGAATTTTTAAATTTTCGATTGTCAACAGATTATTTCCCGGAAACATAGAAAACGGCCATATGCCAGTCGGTCAAATTTGGAAGTTTAACTTGAACGTTTAATATTGATTTTGGGGGACAAAAGTAATTTTTTTTAAATTTCGAATTGAGCATATCTACTACTACTACTACTAAAAGAATTTATTCCCTTTAAAATATAAAGGCATCAAACAAAAGAAACGGTATGATTATGTACACAAAACATCACGAACGGCAATTTATGCAATGGCAACAAAGTAGCATTGAACAAGAGTTGTTTAAGTTGAACATATCACTTCTATTTTTCAGATAGATTTTCAATTTTGCTTTGAAAGTCTCAGGCGATTAGAAAGTGTCGGCTATGTTGTTTGCTGAAATCATGTTGGCATACCGACAGACGCGATAGAAGAAAAATTGCTATGTAAAGAAGAATCGAAAATTCTGGGTTGTTGAAAGCTTAGGGCGTGAGCTATTGCGAAGGTCTTTGGCTGCAAAGGTAAAACTTATGTATCTGTAAAGGTCGAAATCAAATTGATTAGTCAGGACTCGATTAAGAAAACACATATCATGTAATAGACTTGGGCGAAGTACAATTGGATATTTTAGACATAAACAAAAATTTTAGTCAAAATACCGATGCGCTTAGCTCGGATGGTTTGCATCCTTCTGATGGGGGTGTTGAAATTTTGGTGCAAAGTTTTAGAGATTCTTTTAGAGGTTCTGATATTAATGCAAACACATGTGAGATTACAACCCGCCCCAGGATGAAGCAAACCCAACAATCATCAAATTTAGATCCAAAAACGGCAGAAATGTTACAATTTTTCCAAAACGGTGCAAAATTTTTTTAGGAAATACTGGTTTCGCATTTTTTCTTGGTGCAAACTTTGGCGATTATTTAATTTATTTAACTTATTATGCTGAATATTAAATTCTGGTTGTTTTGTGCAATTTTTCTAATTTCCAAGGCTCAGATGGAAACTAAAGAAAAAACTATCTAAGCTGCCATCAAAAGATATTATCATCGAAATGTGGGATAAATGAGCGGAGAGCTACCACACTGACTCATCTTTTCCTTTTTGCGTTGTTACTGACCCAAAGTGGGGATGTTGAAAAAAAACCCGGTACTATTGAAACCATTGAAACAGTCTACGGTATCTGCTCAAAAAATTGTGCAAATCTTAAATTTGTTCATTTGAATTTTCAAAGTATTATTAGAAAACGGATGCAATTGAAAAAATTTCTTGATGATATGGGCGAAAATACAATAATAGAAATTTCCGAAACGTGGCTTAAAAAAAAGATAGTGACAATTTATGGAATTTCCAACCTAGAACGCATGCGATGTTCAGATATGATAGGCAATCAGCGGTAAAAAAGAAAGGCGGTGGCGTTTTGTTATATATACCAGTCAAATTGGCTCCGAAATTGAGGCCTGATTTAAATTTATTTGATAAAAAAAAATATGAGTCAGTGTGGGTTGAGTGCAAATCTACATTTAACATTTCCAGTAGAGAAAAAATGTTAGTTAATTTAAGTTATAACCCAAGCAGATCAAACTTTATTGATTTTTGGAACAATTAACGCTTAACATAGATAATGCATTTTCAGTTTCTAATAAAATTACGCTTCTGGGTGATTATAACATAAATTATCTGGATAGCAAAGAAAAAGAAAATTTAGATTCTATAATTATTCCATATGGATTGAAGGTTTTTTGTCCATACGATGAGACCAGAATTAGTTCCTCAACAAAAACTCATATCGACTACATAATCAGTGACTATGAAACAAACGGCATTGAATTTTGTTTTGATACACCTTATAAAACCGACCATTTTGCTTCATTTATTTTAACGGATATAAAATGCGGCAAAATTTTACCGAGGATAATTTCGACTTTCAATAAGAAAAATTATCAGAAAAATGAATTTTGCAATTCACTCGCCGCTCTTCCTTGGTATCTCTTATATCAATGTACAGACGCACAAAAAATGTTCTCGACGATGATTTATTTAATTTCTTGTGCTCTACAGCAACATGCTCCTATCGAAAAAAAGTTTGTTCGTAATTTTAATCCAAAAAACGTGTTGAAAACGGAATGGTTCGATTAAGAATGTCAGCAATTGTTGAGTAAGAAACAGAATTCACTCAGATCATATCGCAGTAAAAAAAAAGCGATAATTGGTCAAAGTACCAGTTTTTACGTAATCAAATGAGCCAATTGATTAGAAGTAAACAACTCGAACACATTGTTTTTCACTTCTCAGCACTATCCAACAAAAATGGAAATATATTAACCAAGTTAGAGGTACATGTTCTGGCAACAATCGAATTACAGTTTTACGAAATTCCTTCAGTGAAATGATAACCCAAGACAAAAAAATTGCCAACCATTTGAATTATATTTTTTCAAACTTAGGCGAATTTTTCGGCGCTAAAAAGCCTCCGAATTACAACAAATCTGCCTCTGAATCTGCACCTTTCCATTTTCAACACAATACAGTGGAGCAATGCTTTGATATAGTTCGAAAAATCAATGTTAGAAAACCTCTCGGACCTTGTACCGTACCTGCTTGGGCAATCATTGACGGTCAATCAGTTATAGTTCCACATTTAACTTTTGTCATAAATACTTGCTTAGATGAGAACAAGTTCCCGAT